ATCTATCTATCTATCTATCTATCTATCTATCTATCTATCTATCTATCTATCTATCTATCTATCTATCTATCTATCTATCTATCTATCTATCTATCTATCTATCTATCTATCTATCTATCTATCTATCTATCTATCTATCTATCTATCTATCTATCTATCTATCTATCTATCTATCTATCTATCTATCTATCTATCTATCTATCTATCTATCTATCTATCTATCTATCTATCTATCTATCTATCTATCTATCTATCTATCTATCTATCTATCTATCTATCTATCTATCTATCTATCTATCTATCTATCTATCTATCTATCTATCTATCTATCTATCTATCTATCTATCTATCTATCTATCTATCTATCTATCTATCTATCTATCTATCTATCTATCTATCTATCTATCTATCTATCTATCTATCTATCTATCTATCTATCTATCTATCTATCTATCTATCTATCTATCTATCTATCTATCTATCTATCTATCTATCTATCTATCTATCTATCTATCTATCTATCTATCTATCTATCTATCTATCTATCTATCTATCTATCTATCTATCTATCTATCTATCTATCTATCTATCTATCTATCTATCTATCTATCTATCTATCTATCTATCTATCTATCTATCTATCTATCTATCTATCTATCTATCTATCTATCTATCTATCTATCTATCTATCTATCTATCTATCTATCTATCTATCTATCTATCTATCTATCTATCTATCTATCTATCTATCTATCTATCTATCTATCTATCTATCTATCTATCTATCTATCTATCTATCTATCTATCTATCTATCTATCTATCTATCTATCTATCTATCTATCTATCTATCTATCTATCTATCTATCTATCTATCTATCTATCTATCTATCTATCTATCTATCTATCTATCTATCTATCTATCTATCTATCTATCTATCTATCTATCTATCTATCTATCTATCTATCTATCTATCTATCTATCTATCTATCTATCTATCTATCTATCTATCTATCTATCTATATATATATATATATATATTCATGTATTGCAGCCTGTTTTCTAAGCCCAACGTCTCCAGTCACCGAGGGTATTTTTCACTCTTATATGAAAGTAGCTGTTCTCTGCTTTATGCAAAAAATAATGGGCCTTTATTCCTTATGCCTTCACGTCTATTCCAGCTTTATCAACAATGCAGCAGCTGCTTTTGAATCCCTACTATGCTTTCTCTGCTTCATACGACAGAACCTTCTAGTTTTAGGACGTTCGTGTTAGGTTTAATCTCCACAATGCATGCAAATTTCGTGCCCACCCACTTGTAGCATGTTCGTTTTATCCACGCACTTACTAAAAATGACACTCTATGTGCAAACCAGTACTGGTTATATGTGAAAACACATAACATACAAAGCTGTTTCACCGTGCATTCTAATAAATACCACTAATATGGCTCCATAACTTAGCTGGCCCTTTATTTTTGGTAAGTAATAGTTATTTGCTTTCTGCAAGCTTTTATCACTGCTTCTGACTTCTTCTTTTAAAGCTGTTGCTGCAGAATCATGCGTTGCGACAACTATGCTCCCTTCTTCAGCTGTCATCAGCTCATCAGAGAACAGTGAATCTCTTTGAAGTACATCTTTCCTTCGTTAGGTGTTTCATCAACAAGTACAGAAGCATTGCTTCCATGAAAAACAAATCCGTCGTATTTTTTCTTGACAACTGTGAGTGATACCCCGAGAAACATTTATCCTGCAACATGATACTATACTTACCGTGATTGGACACTCAATAAACCATTGATGCAGTCAAACTGTTGCTGTATTGCTGGTTGCTAGTCTTCCATTCATAAGGTGTTAAATTCTGTCGAATCCGGTAGTCTATACACCCAGTTGTAGCTATCATAGCCCCTCACCAGGGCTACTTTGATGGCCGACAATTTTTAAGTTTGGGCCTTCTACCTCGGCTGCAACTGTGATTGGCCGGTCTGAGATCTTGGGAGTGTCAACTGACGCACATGAGTTCGCCATATTGCAGTGTCCTCCGGTTTCCAGTAAATTTTTTGTATTTTGTGGAGACATGAAGCATAAATTTCATGCATTGCACGCAGTGCCAGTGTAGAACCTGTGCGTAATTCCAGCCTCCCTGGCATTTCACGCCGTGGTAGTATTTTTACTCCACTTTTACGCCTAATGACTGTTTCTCTGTAGGCTTTTTCGTGTTGCCAAACATTTCCCCCAATAACGGTTGCAATATTTCTTTGAAACTTCTTGCAGTATGTTTTCATGCCGTAAATGCCACTCTCTGCCAAGTTGCAACTGTTTGCTGTTGGCCGAACTTGCGAATAGCTGATTGGGCCCTTAAGGAAGATTGTGAAGGTCTGGAAAATGTCGCACGTCTTTATCTGCAGTTGCAGGCGGCCTTCTTTCGCCCACACAGCTACCCAGGGGCCAAGGGGCACATATGACAGCCCCAGTCACCGTGGATATCAGCTGGGTATTTGCTTGTGTAACGAACTCATGGTAGGTTCAAATCGCCGACTCACCTGAATGGTTCCGGAAAGTCGGTATCTTGATGTTCATAAAACTCCTGTAGTATACGTGGACGCACTCTCTGGTTACAAAGCGAAAATGGTACCACCTGGTTAGGCATTTGAGATATTACTTGGTTGTTTTCCGTTGTATTTATGAACATAAAACAGAATCTAGAGGTCCGGCCTACGACCTAGTTCGTAAGCTGATTAGCCATTATTTTCGTAGTTGTAAGTGTGCGGGTTGTCAGTCCGGTTTCCGCTTCCGTCACAACATAGTTGAGTTTATTTTAAGTAAAGTCAGTACTGTGCGCAACCACACTTGTGGCTCTTAATTAATGAAGGTGATGTATGTTTCGGAAGTCTGGGCAGTATAGGAAAGGAAAATTTCCATCCTTTGGTCCAGCGCTCGAGGTGGATGAAGTAATTGAGCCTGTGGAAGACGAATTCTAAAAGTTTGTTACAGGCAGTGAAGTTCATGATCTAAGAAGCCTAATGATTTCTAGTAAGTTGCGGTTAGTAATGAGTTACCCCGTCGGCGAGAACACAGTTTCGCTTGTCTTTGCGAAGCCAAGAAGGTCTGGAGAATCGTGGGAATATCACAAACTGCATTCTATCAGAATGAATCTCATTTGGTTCCCCCTGCACGCACAAATTTTGCTGTACCACCGGTATGGTGGTTACAGCTGTCGACCCTACTTGCAATACAAGCGGGGAAAAGCAAATTTCCTATGTATTCTGCAGGTGTTTGCCCTTTCATTTGATGATGAGGGTCGTCCGGTTTTGTACTAGTAGACAAGATAGGAGGGAGGTTCCAACTTGGATATTGGAACAGTCCAAGGGTACAACGCGAAACATTTCAGTCGCCAGCATAGTATTTAAGTGGACTTTATTGGTGGAGAAATATTGTCCATAATGAGCAATGGAACTGTCTGCCAGGTTGAATTTGTGCATTGTACATGTTCATCCAATGTATTCGTTACGAAAAAATTCCACGTCGGTGCATGATCTCATCTCTTTTACTTTTCCTGTACTGTTCTCCTGGATGATAGACCTTTTGTGGTGTAAAAGGTGTTGCATAATTGCGGGAGGTGTTGTTCGAGTGATGTAACACCCGCTGTTATGGCACCATCAAAGAGGGTAGCTCCTAGACCGTGTGGGAAACTGACACGAATTTATCAAGAGACGCACACGGCAGAGAGGAAATTGTGGAATAAGCCAGTGTGGTGGAAACCGCTTACGTAACTAGGAGTGCCTTGTTATTTTTAATAGGGCAGAGAAATTCCGATTAACTGTGTACTTTTGGTAGTTCCTGAGTAGATAAGCTGTTCACATAACACGGTGTTTTTCCACTTATTCTTTGGTGGTTAGCCACAAAGTAGTCGCGTTGAGAGAATTATAAGCGTGTGTAAATAGTTGCAGAAATTGAATGCAGTAGCCATTTACGGTCAATGAAGAGTCGCATCATCTCAAACAAAGTGTTCGCAATTGAAATCTCGGCCGTTAAAAGTGTATATGAATAGGCTCCAAGTTGCTGACCATGGACGCATTCGTAGCGTTACTGGCGTACTCCAAGTCACCGCTCCCATCGTGCACAATGCCAGCAGAAGTTGGACTAGGTTAGGAGAATTTTCAGTGTGGCCGAAGCAATAGACCCAGTTCCCGTTGCCAGTAGTTCGGTTAGCAACGGCGCGTACTGAAAAGACCAAAACATGAATAATGCGAACGATGTATTTCAAGTGCACCTTGATCAGCAAACCTAAGAGCCAAAGAAGCGCGAAGTGTACAAGGGTTGAAGAACGTGTATAGTAAGTTCTCAGGCATTCTTGATGCAGAAAAACCTCTCAACAATGCACGATGTCCAAAAATTGAATGATATGTTCAGGACAACAAGCTGAGTTTACTAGAACACTACCACTACTATGAATCAACCTTTTAACCTGCTACAGTGACTCATTTGTTCTTCCATTCTCCTCGATGTATCTCATCAGTTACTTTCTGCTTATTATTTCGATTATCCCTACAGTATTTTCACCTTCTACCTCTTTTCTAAAATTCTTTCTTACCTTGTGTCGTTCACTTAAATTACTGTCGTAATCATCATTTTGTCTTCCATACTTTTTGAATCTAACTTAATTTCCTAGATTATTTTCCCCCACTTCTTTTTCGTCCCTAGGAAAGTTTTCTCCGGACGTCATAAACAACTCTCTGGTAATGCAAACACTCGGAGATTCCATCAGCACCACGCTGCAAGGACAGGTCATAGCTTCTCTTTTGGTCTCACATAAGCTAGAGCAGTCAGGTAACTAAATCCAGCGTGTCAGAGTTTTTCAGGCACCTGCAATCTTTATGTGAAATCTAGAAGTGAGTGTGAAGAAGTCCATCAATTTATGTCAGCTCATAAGGCAAATATTGGTTATAGTACAGATACTGCGTTTGAATGCATCATTGATCATAACAGGAAACTACTGTACATACTTAAAACGGCATTCTTTGGCGGGGTATGTGGATAGAAGAGATTTTAGAGGTTTTAACAATTTGCATAACTTTTTTTATCCGTCAACCATTGCTAAAATACAGTTTTTCTATCCAATGTTAGTCATGTGTAGCGCTTGCTAGGTTTTCAGTGAAAAACATCTTCCTTCTTCATTATCAAGTTTTTTTTCGTGGTAATGGAAGGCGGCAGCCGCAAAACAGTAGTGTTGCGCTCACATTTTATCGTTAGGAGGAAAGGATGGGAAGAAGGGGGGAACGCAATAGAAAAAGAAGGGAAAGCGCGACAACACAATCGCATCATTGCCTTGTCCCAATTACTTTCCTCCTGAGAGCTTGTTTGCTGAAACATGTCTGAGACTTTTGAACTGGATCAAAATTGTCTGTTTCGGGACCAAAGTAACCTCAGCAACCACATGTGCGTTTCTGCAGTAAGCTGTAAGTCGCGCTTCATTGTCTGAGGACTTGTGATACTGTTTGGCTTCCGAAAACTCGGTAGATATAACTTGTTTTGAATCTGTTACCCACTAGTTGAAAGTCTGGACCTTTAAGAGTTGATCTGGTGCAAACGTGACACACACAGTGGCTAATCACTAATTATTCTAATTCGTTATATACCCACGAATACGGGACCAAGAAAGAACACAACAGAGTAGTCGGATGGAATAATATATTTGCGAGGTCGTACTAGTATACGGATGCCTTCCAAATGACTGGCTAGAGAGTAGATTACGAGCGATGCAACGTAACACGACAGCGTGCCAAATGGAGAGGATGCTTGACCGGGTGCCTTCAGCTTAGCAAGTCCAGCTAAACTATGAAGGTCAGCATTTATGTTGAATCTCGTCGAACCCTAGGCAATTGATTCTGGAGAAGTTGTGTAACGTTATTGTCAAAAGAGCTAAGGCTCTAATGCTCGATGCAGTATCGCACGATTTTATCCTCTTGGAATGACTGGACTGGTAAGTGGTACAAAAAATAGGCAGTTCACATAATATCTTTGGACATAACCAGAGCTTTCGAAAGCGTCCAGCGTACCGCTATACCGACTAAACATACCTAGAAGGTGTAGATCTTATCGCTGAAATGGCTGGTAGTAATTAAACTTACGTTTGTTCGTCCTGCTTTTCCATCCTAGCACATTCTATTTTCTGTAGTGTAATTTTAGCAGGACTACTATTATTCTCCTTATTCCTTTTTCTTTTCCCCACCTACCCGTAAAGACGCAGCTGGTCGCTCCATTTTCAGTTACACGTCTTAATGCTTATTTGTAGGTAGCTATGCGGATAGAAGTCGCAGCAATTTCAATTTTTCATCAGCTCTTTAGCTCCTCCATGCAACCATCCTACAAGCAGACAATCATTATCTTTAGTCATATACACAACTGCGTTCCTCAGGAAGCTATCCATCAACCTCTTCTACTTTAACGTAAATGAGCTAGTACATGTGTGCAGGGTTGAGTTCTATTTTGTGCTTTAATCAAAGAAAATTTGAGAAGTGACAGAATAAACTAGTAGTACTAGCCACAGAAGTAAAAGTACAAGCTATTGTTTAACTAGCCAATATTAACATCTGAAAAGAAGCCTTGGATTGGGTAATTATTGTTTGAAAAGTTGCATGATGTGTAAAGGTTCATGAATGGTAAGTATGGAGGTTCTTAGTTCATGTTTATCGATTCTCCGTCGATTTAGTTAGATTTGTCCAAATCTGACTTTCTCACCAGTATGCAAGGGGTTTGATGGGTTCTCGCCAGATTACACCACTTGTGGCACTGGAAATAGCAATACTTATTAGAGACCAGATTCACTGCCTAGTAGTAATATTTGACGTATTATGTGACTGAAACAACTGCATTTGTGACCACTGTTGCCTTCGTAGCATTTTTCTCGTGTAATAGAAGCACAATGTAAGTTATTTCGGAATTGAGTGCAGTTTTATGTAAAAAAGTAAAGTGATAATTTTGAGACTTAATGAACTGAGGTAGTTAACGCATGTATTATGGACGTGTGGTTGCTGTCTATGCAGGCACCCTATGTTGATTATGGCAAAATAAGGTTAGAAAGGGCGCAGGAATAACCGAAATTAAAAGTGGCTGCAGTTTTTGAAGTCTTTGAATGGTGGTCTGATGTGCGTAGGTATCTGGAGGTTTCTTGATATCGTGGCTAGAATTTTCAGTGGTCGAAGACTGGGTTATTTGGTTCAAATTCGAGTGTAGTGCTTCAGGCACATTACTCACTTTTCTTCTATAGCTGTTTTCCCGGCTCGTAAGATAATTCTTCCTTCTTTTGTTTTCATCCTTGATTTGTCCTTGTACAGATGCAAAATGTTATAATGTTGGCTAATACGTCATTATTCCACATCATGTGTTATAACTAAGTCAGTCAAACCACATTGCGCTGACGGCCTATGATGCTTTTATCATAAACCATCCACCTTTCTTCCTACTTACTATTGAAAAATGTTTATTTTACGTATACTGTTTGAAGAGCAGTTTTCTGTACTTACAAGGTTGCCTCTTTATTCTGTATTTCATACATGATATCTTATACTACTGATTTTCATATTCCGTGTTTCTAATTGTTTCAAAGTGTAAATACCTCATGAAAATTTTCTTTTTCACTTTTAGAACGTCTTATATCCATTCTGTTTCTATACGGTGTATTGATTGCTCAGAAAACCACTTAACATTCAGAAATGCATTTTGTGGAGATTTTAAAGTGTTGGGAAGAATGCAAATCATCAGAGAATTATGATAGTCTACCACCCATGATCAACGTAAGTTATGTAAATGTGCCTACTTTGACCTGGGCATCCAGGTAGTAACATAAACCACCACTCAACAAGTGTTGCTCATGGAATAGCACAGTACATAAACATGTACCAGGTTGAGTTAACTCAGATAATTAATAAGAATATGTAGGACTTAAGAGTTTTATAAACTGATAACTTGATACTACTTTGGATTTCATTCCTGAGTAATAAAGTGTGTTCCAGTGCTTCTCTGATACTATGCAGAAGTTGTACAGTAATTATTATGACAGTAAGAGAAAATACTATGTATATTTGCTAAACATATATAATATATCTTGTGGTTGCCCCATAATCCTGAGAATAAAAAAATGTAAATTATAACATATTCAGATGTGACCTTGTCACACACCCAAGATATGTTCTCTCTCATTTAAGCACTCAGCTATACTGCTTGAACGTCCTCAAGTATTCGGTAAACTAGACAAGGCTTTTGGTGTTGTATCGTCATGCAATAAATGTGACTCCCAGCTTAGTACATAAGTTTTCACTGGATTAGCATGAAGTATTGAACTCAATCCTATTAACCTACGAATTGGAAAGTGGTGAAGGGGCTCCAGCTGTGTTGGATTACAGATTAAAACGAGGGCGAGATGGGAGATTACATGTAAAAAACATTCACACTCGAATCGTTACTTAGACTTCAAGCCATCTCACCGAATGTCAGTTAAAGTAGGTTTAATAAAATGTCTGAGTAGTAGGGCCAACAAACCTACTAGCAAGACAAGATATGAGACAGGAAATTAGATAAATCAAGGATACCTTAGAAACCAATAACTTCCGTCCTAAACTGATAAATTCATGATTAATTGTAAGGAAAATAACAGTTGTTAGTGGCAACGATGGTAGTGACGACAATAATGATAATGATGGTAAAAAATCTCTACGGTGTTAAAATCAAAGGAAGGTACCGTAGATACGTGGGATAGCTGGGATTATAGTGGCATTTAAACCAACAAAGTCGCTTAGAAACAAGCGTTGTAGGTTAAAATGTTCTATTAATCTAACTGGTTTATAGATTCCCTGGCAATGATTTCGAGGTCAAATAGATAAAGGTCAAAGTAGTCCAATATGGTCAATTAGGTTATCAGAGCACAAAAACCTAGCAAAATCAAAATTGGTTGACCTGTACCGGTTTGCTGAAAAGCAGTTCGGTTGTTGGTTGCCTTTAAGCATTATCCTCCATAAAGCATGACTTGATTTTTTGCAAGTACATCTTTCGTTTGTTTTATATAAAGAGAGATTGTAAACAATGGGGAATATTTGTAGCTTCACGATTAAACAACCCAGCTCAGAGAACACAATACAACCAATAAATTGTGAACGTCTCATCGGAAGACGTTATTGAAGTATATACTATCTACTTGAGCCCCTCAGAAACATTGTCATAATTTCAATAGCTTTATGCCTGTCGATTTCCATGTCATCATGCGTGAATTATTTTCAGTTCAATTGTTGTGATAATGATGAATTTTACTTCTTTCTATGTCAACTTATTCGAAATAGGCTTATATACAATCTTCAAATCATCACATAAATGTGACATCTGCAGATGATGTAAAGTCGTTAAATTCTCTAGTAGCGGCTGGTTTTTGCGACGAATACTGTGATACTACACAAAATACTATTCTTGACCTCATTATTTTCTTCGGTAAGTTGTTTATATGTACCTGTATTTATGCTGTAGGAAAAAATATACAAACTCGATATCAACTCTTAACATACTTCTCTATATTAAAGCCATTAATATATGGTATTATCTCCAATTCTGTGGATTCTAATAAAATGAAGGTTTGGTGTATGTATATATGTATATAGTTATTCTAACCCTGTCTTCTCTATAACAGTTGCTGAAAGCATTACAACTTTACACAGAGGATTTGCACAATCTGAATGTACAGATAGATCAAATTTTGTTTTCTCGTGCACTCAACTTTATTATTCGCATTATCCATTCAAATGATAATCTTCTTGAACCTGCTCTTGGTATTTTGGCTAATTTATCTCATTTCTCAAGTCTTGTAAAGCAGACGTTAACAAAGAAGGTAACTTTATATTGCTTATATACATCTATATGCGTTATGTTTTTATAGGAGGACTTCGAAGCACTACGTAATTGTTTACTTCGTATAATAAGCTCAGATCAAGTAAGCCGTTCGGCTTTGGTTTTCTCCGTTGCTGTAAGATTTCATTTATGGAATTCAGCTGATAAGGTAACTCCATTTAAACAGATTGTTTATTTCAATAGATGTTTTTAAAGTCTCATCGCACTAACATTGAAGTTTATGTATACGTTTGATGAGTAGAGTTATGGCTGCTTGGTGTATTCATTTGACATTCAATTGTGAGATTAAAGATTCCAACTTCAGTGAACCTACCAAGGTTTTCATAGCCAAGCTTTATCAATCACTTTTCAAAAACAAATGTCCCTTATTGGATGAAATAAAATAAACCTTCCCTTTTACGCCGTGTGTCATTATACAATTTGTTTTAGTTTACTGATATCTATAGCTCTACGTTCTTTGTATGTGACTCTATTAAAGTACTATAAATTCACGCTGTATATACAGCTTTTACAGAACATTAAGGTAGAAATAATTATTGTCACGCACAGATACCTTGACTACTTCTTCATATAGAAAGTCTATTGTTTGGTAAACATATTTTCTTGATTCCTGTTACAATTTAAATATCAGTTTATATTCACTTGGTCTTAGTTTCCTTAGCAAATGTCATCGTTTTCTACAAAGCTTTTTAGGGTAAATAAATTTAAAGAGTATCGGTTAAAAGTGGAATAAAATTGTGAAGTCTATCATCTGTCTCTGTCTGCTGTTTGTGTAAATGAATAATCATGAGTAGTTTTAAATCAAAAGAAATTGTCAACGAAACTATCTTTTTCATCGCGTATTCAGTAAGATATCTTGGTGATTCAGTTACTTTTTGGCATTCTGCTACCGGTATGTACTTGTATATTCTCATACAGAGTCAGTCACAACGATGCAGATGTTTTACACTGTTCCTCATCCTGGTTATTTTAAGCTTTTTCGACTGATTTTTTTTATTGATCCCCTCTTTTCTCACTAAGTTTTTCGATTCTAATATCACTCCTTTTTCTCCATTTCCTATTTGTGTGATGCTGCGTTATATAGCAGCAATTCAAACTGATTCACTTCTGTAAAAGATTCTCCGTTGGTTTTTCTCTCCAATCACCTACCTTATATTTTCATTACATACTCTAAATGATCATTTAATCTGCTTTCAGTAGTTGGTTGCTACCATAATGAGTTACTGACAGCAGTTTTAGACTGGTGCTTTTTTATAGCCTGCATTGGTATGGATGGTGTGTGTATTTATTATTTTACCAGATATATATCGTATAGGGTTTGTCTCCATCGCTCCATTACGAAAGTTGCTTAACTTCTCTAGACTAAATGCTATACAACCTACTTTCCCCATTAGGAAGTGAGGTCAGGATTAATAAAAAAGGCCTAAAAATTATTATGTTTTATGCTATTTTGTTCTATAAAAATTTTATTCTTTGATATGGATCAGTTTTTTGAAGGTCTAAATGCTCACAGAACACTTCAAGTTTTATTTAATGTATTGTTGAATGGAGATGTCAGTATGTGTGGACTATGTGCTGGTGAACTTCTGAGTGACCTATCATGTGCTGAACCCCAATTTTTCACCTCTGTACTAATCAGGTAAGCTAACGCTTTATGATATCCTTTTGTTTACACTAAATATTCACATTTGCATAAAAGAAAGAAAACACTAGCATGAATTCACTTTGTTATAAACTTCAAATGTTATTGTAGGTAAACATGTAAACAAATGATGACTTGCTTGAATGTGATATCCGTTCCCCTTATTTCGATCTTTTCCCATGTGTTTTATGACGTCTGAAAGTTGATTATCCTGTTATTCGTCCTTTGGGTTCCTAGTGGAACATAAGGCATCAGTAACACGTCGCCATTTCACTCTTCTCGGCAGTCTTTCCAACATGGTTCAACGACTGGCTATAAACTTTAATTGCTTCCTCACACAATCTCCTCCATGTCACCCTCAGACGCCCAACTTGTCGTTTCCCATTTGGGTTCCACTTGAGGGCGTGATCTGGCGCGTGATATCGGCAAACGGTCTTCTCAGTGTATGTCCAATCCACTCCATCTCGACTTTCTTCTTCTGTATATTCTTTGGGCGATAGGTTGTTGGTTGGTTCGTTGCCAACCAGAGTTCCTTATTGCTTATCCTTTCTGGCCATCCATCTGATCTTCAGTATCGAGTGAGGGTAGGCGGCAGCTGTTAATGTATATCTGCAGTTTGTTGGAAATGCTTTTCATGCGGCGCCAAGTCTCTGAACCATATAGAAACAGTGACTTGACTGAATTAGTGTTGAAAATCCGGATATTCTTCACACTTTATGCTGAGTAGAGTGCAGTGCAGTAGATCTCCACAATGATTTGATTTCAGATTAATGAAGGAAGGCCTGTCTTGCTGTCTTTCCGATTCTGGCTTTGACATCCTCGTCTGTGCCTGTGCCGCGTGTAGTTGAAAGGATGCTGCCTAGATAGGTGGAAGAGACAACTTCCTGTAGCTCTCTCCCGTTAATGGTGATTGGTGCTTGTTGTTGTTGGCTGGGTATCTTCATCACCACTGTCTTCTCTATGTTCACCTAAAGTCCCGTCTTCATCGCCTCTTCCGTCAACCTATTAGTTTTCGCCTGTAGATCTTCGAGTTTGTGCGACATAAGACATTAAACATAAATCATCATCTGCGAAATCCAAATCTTCTAGGGTCTTTTCATCGGTCCATCCTACTCTACTCTGTTCCATAAAATAAGTGTTTTTGAAGGTAACTAAACACACACAGTATTTGTTATCTTTACACTGATATTTTTTATCTTGTGCATTGCCACACTATCCTTTTTTCATTTAATCTTTTTCTGCTTATGACAAGTGTAGTAACTTTAATCAGTGTACTTTGTTCTGGAGTTTTCTGCTATTTAGTATATCTTGAGGTTTCATTGAGCGAATTCTATTTATAATTGATGACAATCATTCTGATTTCTATATCACCAGTTCATTGTTAGATTCATCCCAAAGATAACTCTGTTTTGATTTCTACATCAACTTGGACGTCACAATTTCAGGACTGTGATCCCCTAAACCGGGGAAGTTTACTCAGTCTAGTTGTTACGAAAATTGCTATCAACTTTAGGATGATATTCTGGTATTATGACTAGAGTTTTAGATCGACCAAACTCTTCGCCATATGACTGGAAAAGCTTAGATAGAAGTAAGGTCATCACCTGCTGTTGACATTGCTAAAAAAAACTGAATTGGTCGATGTATTGATGCAATAACTATGTCGCTTATTGAGTGCTGTTATGCAACCCACTCTTCATGGAAGTACACAAAGAACAGGTGGGTAGAAAAGCAATGATATCAAAGTGGATGAAGTAGGGTGAGAAGATAAACAATCTGAAGATAACGGTTAGTGCAAATATTCAAGTTTTAGAAGATGTTAAGGAACGAATAAATCTGCACCATTGTCACCAGGAGTTCTCAACCACTGATTCCTTTCGTCTTGAGCACCGCAACTAGGCAGTCTGCATCTCACCATATGGCTCAAGCCAACAGTCAGAGACTTCATCGATTAGTTGCTTCTTGATCTGGCCACTCTGGACCCTCTTCCAACCTAATCCAACTTCTAGCATGGCACGTCAACGTCGGTGGTGTCTGGGCATGCACATTACATCCTCAAGCCATCCTAATCGACTACGGTTCACAACCTCATCAATCGACCTGTCTGTCTTCCCTAGTACCTTTTGGCTGACCTCAGCATTGCTAGTACAGTGATTCCACCAAACACGAGCAATGCTACGAAGACACCTATGATGATGGATTTATACCTTCTACTCCCAACTGTCATGTCTCACAGATGCATAACAGGACAGAATGACCAGCAGCCCAGTATACTTGTCCTTTGATAGATAGTCGGATATCTCGTCAGTCAGTGCCACTAGTGACGCAAACTGGTAATTACCGAACGAGCCTTTTGTATCCGAGCTGAGATCTCGTCAGCAACGGGTCCGTTCCAGTTGATGCAACTCCGCAAGTGAGTCGAGTGGTCGACACATTCCCGGTACTTCCCTCCCTATCAATTAACTGGGTGTACTTGCAGTAGATCAGTCTTGGAGCATCATCTTACACTTGACAGGTGTCAAATGCATGCCAATCATACGTAGATTTCTGCTCAACGTATTCCGAGGATCCTGCGTTTTGTCAGCGTCTTCACCAGGAAGGATAATATCGTCTGGATACTCCAAGTCAGTCAACCAAGTGATCTGCAGGGTATAGATCCACCCTAGTGAAGTTAGATATATCTAAGGTTATGTCCGATAATACGTCTATGATGAAGTTAAATAGGAACTATGACACTGGGTATCCCTGGCGGAGACCAGTAGTTGTTTTCATCTCACGTCGCAAATCTCCATAAGCTGTGATACGACTGCCCGAATTGGAACAAAGAGCTTTGATAAGTATTATATACTTTCTCAGTACTTCCTTCACAGTGAAACACTGCCACAACAGCCCATGGTCAACAGAGTCAAATGTCCACTTCAGGCGAAGAAATATTCCAGGTGTTGGCAGCCGGTATGTATGCCTGTGTTCTAGGACCTTTTGGAGGGTGAAAATCTGATCGATCTACGCTTGTCCAGCTTTGCCTGAAACCTTGGTGTTGTCCAGATTGAGGTTGTCGAGCTTCGGTTATGCGTCGCGTAGCTAGGGACTCTCGGATCTGGAATACAATATTAGTCAAACTTAATTCCCCTACGGCTATCACAAAAAGATTTATCCTTCTTAATATAAGCTGGGATGATCAGTGAATCGGACCAGTCTTACGGTACTACTTCCGATTCCTATACGCTACGTAGTACTTTCGTCACTCTAATCAGCTATTCCCTACCTCTGTCCATGGAAACCTTAGGTGGAAAACCGTCGAATTTTTCTGCCTTCCATCGTTTCAGTTTTGATACAGCTTTCTCGACTTCGAGGAGAGTTAGGAGACGGACATCTTTTCGGCAATGGTTTCACTCACCATTGTTTTTTCCCCCAGTATACTTAATACGCCTAAATAGTTGCCAAGTGTTACCCAACGCTGATGTCTTCCCAATCTTTCTTGCTCTCTCCATCGACCACTGCTTGCGGTCGACGCGAAAGCTCTTGGCCAGTTTTACGTCTAAGTTGCGTCCGCTCTTCATCGTGGTCATAGTCAGCTGGAACCAGTCTTCTCACATCAATTTGTCTCGAATTCCAATAACGTTTACTGACCTTCAGGTGTAGGTTGCCAACTCTCTTTACCGCTTTTTTCGCAGCAGACTTAATATCACGCCAGGTTTCCTCAAAATGAGCATTGCTATCAAATCCAGATGAGTGCTTAGCTAACTTTTCCTTAAATGCGTATTTGGCATCCTCGTCTTCCAACTGACCACAGACAGGCTTTTCTGTCGCTTGTTTCGTGAGACCGCTAAGGCTCAGACATACTCGAGCCTGCACTAGTGAGTGATTGGAGTCCAAACTGGTACTTTAGAAAGAGCGTCAATCCTCCATCATTCCTCTCCAACGATGGTTTATAGCAATGTGATCTTCCTGCGCCCATCGATGGTTTGAAGTCGGTGGATGCCATGTGAAACAGTGTTTCTCATGATGCCTGAAGTTATTGCTGGCCAGAAACAAGTGGTTGTCGGAGCGAAATTGCAACAGACGATCACCGTTGTCGGTTCGTTGGCGTGGGATTCCGTAAATACATCCCAGATGCTTTTCCGATTAGCTTAGCTTCCCGAATTGAGCGTTTAGGTCACTTGCCACTATGAGTATATCTGAACGAAACATTATGACAATATTGGAAGTGTACTTCGCTCAGACAAGGTAATCTTAAAAATGGGCGATTCATAAAATGAGTTTTACAGTAATTTTAGGGGATTTCTTAATGCATTTGTATTGAAGATGCGCAACCAAATTATGAGTAACCGAAGGTGATAACGAAAATGACCAAACAGGTAGCGCGACTAAAGTTTTCAATCATTGTGTCATTCAATTTATTGTGATGTCCTTGTTAATATGCCGTCTGGTGTATTACTTTTAACTCAGGCAACTGATCACACCTGACAACCATTTAGATTTCAACCTGTTTATTATTTTTTCGTTTATTGTCTGTGTTGCAGTTACTTATGTGCACTTTTAGTGGTTTTGGGCAACTAATTGTTGTATTTGTCGTCTCTGCTGTAAGACAATTACTGTGAAGAGAATAGAGTCCTTATTGTCTTACTGTGCAGTGAAATAGCCACCTGTTATTCCTTTTTATTTGAAAATTGTTCCTTAGTTATTAATAGTAATAATTGCTTTATTTCAAACAATATGTATGACAGTATGAAGTTCTCAGCATGTAATTTTTCAACATATTGACTCCCAGAACAATACTTTCATCAAAATTATTGCATCAAAATGATAATAGTAATAGTATTCAAGGCAATAGTGTGAAGTATCCAGCTGGTTCTGGATGGGCATCCGGTGCATAATGTAGAACCAACAGAAATGCAAGCGTAATTTTGGTGGTGGCGGTTCATTCAGATGGTATAGAAATCTGCGACTGAAGCTAAGCATCTAACAGATAGAAGTATGATGTAGTTTTTTGCACCGAAAAGTCCATTTCCATATGACGTAACATTTTCTCTCGGCTTCGTTATTGACTTGAGAAACGGAGAGTTGGAAGCAGTTTAAAAATGTGCAAAGGGTACATGATACGTTCAAAGGACATATTTAAATGATCAAAACAAACTGAAAGGAAAGAATTGGATAAACAGTGTTCGATGGATAAATTTGGTAGCCCAAGGTTTAAACAGGCCGCCGTGGAGTAGTAGTAGTAATCAAGGCATCTGATATAAATTCTAATCGATTAGAAAAAAAACCGTCTCATTTTTTCTTATCGGTGACTTACTGTTAAAACTGTGATGAAAATGACCCAAGGAAACTATACTAACATTGTGTTGTTACGGCGGTATTGGTACAATTAAACAATCGATATAAAAAGTGTTTCAACTAAGATACAGATTTGGTGTTATTACTTGTACATTTCAGGTACATCCAGCTGACGAATCCCAAATGGACGAAATGCGCATCTTGAATCCCCCTGCTAGCCACTATCCATCTTTACTATAAGATATAGATTTCTTAATGAAATGTTTATTCACTCAATTTTAAGGTTTCACACTAATACTCTATCTGTTGTTTTTGGTTCATTTCAGTTTTCCAGCTCATAAGACTTTCCTTAAAGAAGTTGTCTCTCAATTGAGAGCAAAAGATTCATCACTTCTATTAAAGGTTAGCTTAAAATATTCTTAGTATTTGTTTTCGAAGATGGTTTTTTTAAATTGAAAACTGGAGTCATTTGTTGAGTAACTGCGATTGAATATATGTTTCGTTTCTCATTTTTAGTTTCTAGTCCCTTGTTTCAACTCTTTGTGAAACTGAATCACAGTCCCAGTAATGAGTATCTCACTCTTGAACAGACTAGTTGAAGTCCAACTGTTGGCACTTTTCTATTTCGAATTACTTCCTATAGCATTTAATGTTGTTTTTTATTCATCCATCCAAATACTGACTTTGCTACTATTTGTGTCCACGATGCTCCATTAGATTTGAATGTATTTCATTACTATGCAGGTAGCAGCTGCCGTCCAAGTGAACTATTTTTTTCCTACCTAACTTTCCTTTTCAGCCACACTTACATTCTACAATACAATCAAGATTAGCGCATGACAAAAGCTATAGAGTTAAACATAGTTGCTTTGTCCACTTTCACACTAGTTGCTTCGCTAGTTTATCTGACTGACTTAAATAGACCAATGAACTTTCAATGGAGAACAAGTGATTTCGAGGAGAAGATATTATCCAAGTGTGAGAATTCGGACTACAATACGCCATGTTTGAGCTTCATGGTATTGTCAACTGAATTAAAATCAGCGAATATTTTCTGTATACCCATCCATCTAATGTACTTAACTTTTTACTGTAAAACAGAGAATATAGAATAATGCTGGTCATAGCTATGTTGTATTCAGATTCTTGTAGGTCAGTTTGTAAAGGGAAAAGTTTTCCTGAAACTTTTAAAAGTAGATAAAATTAAAGCATCAAAAGATTGAATGTATGTTTGTGTGACTAGGGTCAATCAAACTCTGTCTAGATCCTTTCATTGCTTTCAAACCAGGAGATCTCTGATGATTGCAATAATTAATATGAAACAGTCTCCAATTCTTGTGCCTACATAACATGATAGAATTCACTGTCCTGACTACTGGGTTAATTTATCCACAAAGTGTAAAAGATTTCAATAACTTATGTGAATAAGTAACAGATCATATGGATAATATTTTCTGATTCCCAAACATTACCCTCTAAAGGGTTTTGTGAAAGTTTGACTTTCATGAATTTTCATTTTGTCGAGCGAAATTTTCAATAAGCGAAAAAAGGAAGCCTGCATTTCATGAATAGCTTTTGTTATCGTATGGAAAGCTTAGCGACGCCTTTGAAGTGAAGACAGGAGTAAGACAAGGCTGCCACCTACTATCACTGATGATCTTCCTGATTGTGGTCGACTGGACTCCACTGGATCATGCAGCAAACCGTGAGGTGAGGAGTGAGAAGATGGGCATACGCTGTTTGACAGATGAAAAGACTGTAGAAGATTTGGATTTCGCCAACGATGATGATTTGTGTCTAATGTCTTGTAGCACAAGCTGGAAGATGTACAGGCGAAAACTAACAAGTTGACAGAAGAGACAGGGGAGCGAAGATGGGACTTCAAGTGAATGTAGAGAATACCGGAGTGATGAAGATACCCAACCAACAACAGCATCAACAACAAGCACCGATCACCATTAACGGGAGAAATCTAAAGGAAGTAGTCTCTTTCATCTATCTTCCTACCTACCTACCTAGCTACCTACCTCGGAGGGCGGTATCGTTTCAACTACAGGCAGCACATGCACAAACGAGGATATCGAAATTAGGATCGGAAAAGCAAGCTAGGCTTTTACTAATCCGAAATGAGTGTGGAGATCCACTGCACTCCAGTCAGCAAAAAGCACGAACAGGATCCGGATTTTCAACACCAATGCAGTCAAGTCAATGCTGCTATATTGTTCAGAAACTTGGAGCGTTATGAAAAGCACTTACAACAAACTACAAACATTCATCAACAGCTGCCTACGCTTGCTGGATACTGAAGATCAGATGGCCAGAATAATAAGAATAAGCAACAAAGCACTCTGGCAACGAAGCAACCAAAAACTTATCACCCAACAAATATGTAGAAGAAAGTGGAGATGGATTGGGTTTGGCATACACTGAGAAGGCCGATTGGGGACATCACGCCTCAGGTTAGGCCCTCGAGTGTAATTCAAAGGGGAAAACGACGAGTTGGGCGTCCGAGGTGGGGGTCACATGGAGGAGATGATGTGAGGAAGAAATGAAAGCCTGTTGGTGGTCGTGGAGCCAGGTTGAAAAGACTGCAGAGAAGAGAGTGAAATGGCGACGTGTTACTGAAGCTCTATGTTCCACTAGGAACGCGAGGGAAAAATAATAATATGATTTGTTATCGTGGATTGAAATTAATTTTCTGAAAATTCTGATCGTTTTCCGATTGTCCCGAAAATTCGAAAAAAAGGAATCGTTTACTGTTTGTCCTCAAAACCGTGAGCTGTATGTATATAGGTGTCATTAGGTTGTGATGGTCAGCTGTTTTAATGTGTGTATTTTTGTGACGTATTCAACCAGTAGTTGATACACCCCACCATTTTAATTCCATGAAATTTTACAAACGACATTCATCATACTCAGATTTCTGATTGCTATTCAAAGCAGCTGATTAGCATAATTCCTTTTATAAAAAATCTAATCTAATAATATTTATGTTTAGAATAAAATACCTCTATCAAAATTAGTAGAAAAATAGATTTTTCTACTAAGTCGTGTGAAACTAGACATAGTGTTACTGACGGAAGTAGAGAATATGAACTATCACATTCTGGCCCAGTGGCTCAATAGTAACATGCTGAGTGCGGAATCTTAAGATCAAGGGTGCACACTATTAAGCTGTTTCATGCTAGGATTAAACAGCTGTCCAATGCTCCCAATTTTCCAATGTTACTCCAATTGTTATCAGTCTTTAATACATACCAACTGGAAATCAATAAATAGTTTCCCACAAGCCTAAAAATTGAATGACCTCGCCTGGTTAACTAGTTCACTAGTTACTAGCCGGTCTTAAACCCGGGTAAAGAGGGAAGGTTGGGCATAGGGCCAGCAACCCTACCCCGTAAAACAAATCTAACCGCTAAAGAAACTTCAAAGCACAAACGATATATAAAAAATAATAACAAAATGATCCCTCGCTGGAATCGGAGAGGCGAAATGACGCCAGTTGGTGAAAGCCTTCGAGAAGCCAATTGGCCTGGCCGATATGTCTTCTCTCGATGAAAGCGAAAGTAAACGTGGGGACATGGAATGTCCGCACGATGTTTGAACCCAGCAAGGCAGCCCAAATTGCAAACGAGATGAAGAGGTATCACAGTGAAGTGCTTGGAATTTGCGAAGGCAGATGGAATGGGAGTGGACTCTCCAGACTGTCAACTAGAGAGGAGGGTCAATAATCTACTCCGTTACTGTCACCCAGACGACAACCACGAGCACACTGAGTTATGGAGTGGCTATCATGATGTCTCCAAGAACATCAAAGGCTCTCTCCCATGCAGTGGGAATCAATATCTTCCTCCAGGATCATGACAGCAAAGTTCAACTCAAAAGGAAGGAAGGTCACAATCATACAAGGCTACACTATGCACCTACAAATAATGCAGAGCAAGAGAAAACGGAGGAATTCTACAGACAACCTCAATCAACACTGGACAAGACGTCAGTTGGCGATATCAAAATTCTAATGGGCGACATGAATGCCAAAGTGGGAGGGGACAACACACGAAGAGAACTAACTATGGGTCGAGAGGCGCTAGGTGAAATGAACGAGAATGGAGAATTGTTTGCAGAATTCTGTGCATTCAACGATTTGGTGATTGGAAGCAGTGTGTTCAGGCACAAGGATATCCACAAAGCGACATGGATTTCACCAGATGGACACACTAAAAATCAAATCGACTTTATCTCAATCTCAAGAAAATGGAGAGGCAGTCTACTTAATACAAGGTCAAGAAGAGGAGCAGATGTAGGCGGTTCACATCACTCACTATCTAGTGCAAGGAACCTACCCTCAAAATCGAGTTGAAAGCCTTCAAGGAAGCTGGTGATAGACCTCAATTCAAGTACAACACCCAGGACGGAAACTGAAGGATGAAACTACAAAGGAGATCTTCACGGCAGCCAGCCATCAAGACAAAATGGGAGATATCGAGGAACATCCCTGAAGAAACCTGTGTGCAAGAACACTGGAAGTCTTTGAAAGCTATGTGGAAAGATACCTGCACAACCGTATTAGGAAGGAAGAAGGTGGAAGACAAGGAATGGATCTCGACGGATACCTGGAAGCTGATAGAGGAGAGGAGGATGGTGAAACAGAAGATAAACCAGTGCAAGGACGCTCAACGACAAGAGGAACTGAGCACAATGTATAAAACACTGAACGAAGAAGTAAAGAAGAGTGCGCTCAAAGACAAAAGACACTTCTACGAAACACTAGCGAGCGAAGCAGAACAGGCTGCAGGTAAGAGAGACCTGACGACATTGTATCAAATAACCAGGTTGCTATCAGGGAAGAGATCAACACAGATGAAACCAATAAAAGATGAAGAAGGAAATTTAATTACAAAAGAAGAGAAACAAAGGAAACAATGGGCCGACCACTTCAAGAAGCTCTTGAATCGACCACCACCACCACCACCTGCGCTTCGTCTAGAAATACCACCCACAGCCGCTGAATTACAAGTGAACATAAATCCTCCAACAAAAATGGAAGTCCTGAACGCCATAAAGCTACTGAAATGCGGGAAAGCATCAGGACCAGATGGAATCCCACCAGAAGCACTGAGAACAGATGCAGAGACAACAGCGGACATGCTCACACCACTATTGCAGAAGGTGTGGAAAGAAGAGAAGGTACCTGCCTATTGATTGGAAGAAGGGTTACCTTGTCAAACTGCCGAAGAAAGGAGACCTCAGTGCTTGCAAGAACTGGCGAGGAATCACTCTCCTGTCCACCCCAAGTAAAATATTAAGCCGCATCATCCTGGAGAGGCTTAAAGATGCACTGGATTCAAAACTGCGACCGGAACAGGCAGGCTTCAGGAAGTACAAATCATGTGCAGACCAAATTGCAACGCTTCGCATGATCATGCAACAGAGCATAGAATGGCAATCAGCTCTATACCTCAACTTCATCGACTTTGAGAGGGCCTTTGACAGCGTCGACCGAGAAGTAATTTGGAAACTGCTTCACTACTACGGAGCACCGCAAGCCTTTATCAGCCTCATTCAACAACTATATGAAGATGCCACATGCCAAGTAATTCACAATGGGAAGCTCAGTGATGCTTTTGAAGTGAAGACAGGAGTGAAACAAGGTTGCCTACTATCACCCATGATATTCCTGATTGTGGTGGACTGGATCATGCAGCAAACAGTGGGCAGCGAGAAGAGGGGGATACACTGGACTACGGAAAAGAACCTAGAAGACTTGGATTTCACCGATGACTTGTGCCTGATGTCACACAAATTTGAAGATCTACAGGCGAAAACTAACAAGTTGACAGAAGAGGCAGCGAAGACGGGACTTCAAGCGAATGTAGAGAAGACAGAGGTGATGAAGATACCGCACCACCACGATCAACAACAACAAAAAAATCCAGTCACCATGAACGGGAGAAACTTAAAGGAAGTAACCTCCTTCACCTATTTAGGAAGCACTGTTTCAACTACAGGCGGGGCACAGATGAGGGCGTCAAAGCAGCCAGGATCAGAAAAGCAAGACAGGTGTTCATTAGCCTGAAACCAGTGTGGAGATCTTCTGCACTCAGCATGCGGAACAAGATGCGGATTTTCAACACCAACGTCAAGTCAGTGCTCCTGTATGGTTCAGAGACTTGGCGCGTCACGAAAGGCATTTCCAATAAACTACAGACATTCATCAACAACTGCCACCTACGCTCGTTACTGAAGATCAGATGGCCAGAAGGAATAAGCAACAAGGAGCTCTGGGAACGAACCAACCAGGAACCTATCACGCAACAAATATGCAGGAGGAAGTGGAGATGGATTGGACATGCACTGAGAAGACCGACTGGGGACATCACGCGTCAGGCCAGTTGCTGGAGTGGAATCCCCATGGGAAGCGACGAGTTGGACGTCCGAGGTGAGGGTGACATGGAGGAGGTCGTGCGAGGAGGAAATGAGAGCTTGTGGGCTGTCATGGAGCCAGGTTCAAAAGATCTCAGAAAACAGAGTTCACATGAGACGTGCTACTGAAGCCCTATGTTCCAATAGGAACCCAAGGGACTAATAATAATAATAATTTCCACTGGATTAAGACATTTATTTCTCCTTTAACATCTAATGTTAATGATAGTATGTATGGCAACTAATCAATTTTAAAGGAACTAACCTTAGTGTTTAAATAATTCAACTATATCCATGTTCAAGGTCTTATAGGAACGGTAATACATAGCTGTCCGAATCATTGTAGTTAAGCGTTCAACAGGTAAACCTATAGTAAATATTTCTGCTCTCTTTCTTGAGGTGTGTTCTTGGGTGTATCTAAATTCTTAAAAGTGTGTAAGAAATCTCGCTGAAATTCGGTTAATGGGTTAAGTCTTGTTGAAACTGGTTCTGTTGACTGTTTTTTTGTTGTTGTTGGCATGAAATCCATTCACACAATAATTCTATATAAAACTAATTAACTGTTTAACTAACCAATTACTATTTCTATAATTTGATGTTTTTTTTTTAAATTTAAAGTTAATGAATTTGCTTCGTATTCTTTTGGGGAATACTGATTCAGGAATAGATGATTATATACGTAAATTATTCTTCACTTCTGATCAAGATAAAAAATCAACACTAAATAATGATTTATATCAACCATATGATTCACTCTTAACTTTATTCTCATTGGTTAGTGGATCTGATGATTTAATTGCTTCAGTTGCTTTAGATTTACTGGATGAACTTGTCAAGATTGTAAGTTGATTTCGTATGATATCTATCTATTTAATTACTGAAGCTATCCCTCTTTTAAATAGTTACAGGATCATTTTGTTTGTAATTTGTGCTAGAAACTATGGTTTTATCTTATGTGTAATGAATCTATAGATAAATGGATGCTAAACTATATTAGTCCAAGTTGATTACTTTCCATCTCAGCGCATAATTAAGAGAACTCACCAACAGAGCAACCGAGCGAATGGAAATAATAATATCAAAAGTTAAAAATAATTACAGAAGAATATCAAGACTAGTGAAATATTAGCTATTCACAACAAAAATGCATTCACCTATGTTAGTATTCTTTTTCGAAGTATATTGCTTAAATGATTGATCTGATCATTGTAAAATGGTTTTCTACACGTCTCGATCGTATCGTTGGTTCTGACTTGCATCTCCCATTGATTTCCTGTTCTTACTAAGCTCTTTGCATGTAATCTGTGTTGCTCGTTCAGTAACTTATGCGATCATATGAAAATATGGGTAGTTAACCACCTGTAACCCAACCCATCAGTAACCATGCTTCACAACTAAATAACGACTCCATGTAGACTTTGTATAGTTCATTCTAAACCCCATGGAGTCGTGAATATTCCACTTTTCTACTAGTGTTATAACTGACCAAAAAACAACTGAAGAAACTCTTATGAAATCTCATTCTCTACAGTTCATCTACAGCGCCAAAAAATATTTCACTAAACTATTGCACCAGGCGTCGGTACAGACTTAAGATGCACTTTTGCATCTTAAATGGGGAACTGTATCTTAATCATTCATGAATGTTCACTCGATTTTCAGAAGCCTACTTTCTGTAAACATCTTCAACTTAAAAGTTCTTATCGTTTTGGGTTTCCACATTGATTAGATCTGTGGGTAGGATGTAGATCCCTGGTAGGTCACAAGGAACTAGAATTTCTAACAGCACTTCTGTGAGTACGTTTAAAAAACTGGATAGAGTGAATTGATTAGTTCAGTACTTGCTAAAGTGACCCTTAGAGTCACTTTGTCGAAGTTGCCACTTCAAATATGATGATAAGACATGCCAATTTACTTGTCATCATAACAGGTAAAACAAACACGTTAGATACTCCTTACAAGGGAAAAAGACGAAGACGTAACAAAGAGAATGTAATTGTAAATACTCAATATGGCTGAACAGTTTCGACAAATCTATTGCCATTCCAGCGAACAAAAGATTTACTACCAACAACAGAACTCAATGACCACGTAAAAGATTGGGCATGAGTGCTACGAGTACTATATTATCCAACCCATAGTTATGACATCGTGTTGCTAAAGCCTTGGTGATACTGTGAACTTTCGTCGATGTAAATGAATGGGATGTCCATTCTGCATGCTGAGCCACTATCTCTCCCAGCTTGCTGCGCAGTAAGACAGGATTGAAAGAAAGATAACGGTGACCAGACAGAAATAAAACTATTCAGTTAAGTTTCTGAGTGTCGGTCGGAATAAAAAAACTACCTTCCCAACCAATATAACCGAAATTAATTGGTTATTTCAGCTGCCACTAGGGTAATTTTTGAAGCCACTCACTTTGCCATTGCCACATGATTCTAACTATCTTCACACTTCACTATCTGAATGTCACTGCGCTTATCTACGCTTTATTCACACGTATCAATCACCCACCAAACTGAACGCAAGACAAATTATTTGCAACCCTTTAACTGTGAGCCTTTGTTCCCCTCCCACTGTAAAATAAAAGACAAAGAATAACTTGTATTCCATGCGATCTTAGTCAAATATGAGATACACAACTGGATTACATAACCAAAGTGTACTATGATTCATAAGAGCGAGGCGACTGATTTCACATACATCTTAACTGGGACAGTGGATGATGATTGATTTCATTTAAAGTGTAACTATTTCGCAACCATAAATCTCGTGCAGTCAAGTGTACAGTGAACAAAAAAGCTCTTGAACTGAGTTGTATACTAATACTGTAAAAGAAGTCTTAAGTAGAATGCATCTTGAAACGAATAAATTAGTACGGTTGATAATGGTTGTCTGAGATTCCTATTTTCATTTCTTTCCTCTGTATATCCATTCATATTCATATCTGTTTTACTAATCGATATTGCAGTAAATGTACTAGGATAAAGTGGGATTTTGATAAACTGTTTAGATTGTATTTATCTCACCTCTTTTGATGGTGGTTTTGCTAATTTCAATTCTAGCCTAACCAGAAGGATCCAACTGATCTCACTATACCTCGAGATTTTTTATTTGTGAAAACTGTTGAAGCATTACGCAAAATTGGCGACTCATCAGATTCTTTGAAGTCGACAAACGATTGTCATTGGGATCGACTTTCTGTCTCTGGTCATATCTTTCGAACTCAATTGTTAATTCGACATTTGAAACATTTGATTAGTCTTTTCCAAGTCGATTCTATACCAGAACCTACGCTAAGTGTGGCAGAATCAGATATTCTGTGTCAGATACCGGTTTTAAGCAATTTTCTATGTCAATTAGTACACAATCATATGGACAGTAATCCGCTTGTAGAAATTTTGTTAAACGATGAACAAGAAAATTTACGTCTTGATTGTTGTACAGCGGTCAGTAACAAATTGGATGCTGATGTATGGTAGGTGATTAAACTTTCATTAATTTTAAGTCTATTAGACTTAATGTTTGATTCTCTTTTTAACTGGATAATATCACATGGTACTTGTTCACATTTATATCTGCTTATTATTATTTTTTTTATAGCTTACTGTCATGTGCACTTTCAGCTGAAGCAATGGGCCTCCTTTACCAATGCACTGAACTGTTATCATCATGTGCTCCAGTCACTTCACAAGATGATGAAGTATCACTTACACAAAACACTCCAGATAAATCAAAGCATATTGAAACAGATCTTAAATTTACACAAAATGTTGCTCGACAGTGTGGTCATTCATTACAATCTCTAATTGAACGTCCTGAGATGCCTGGCTTACTAGCCCTTTGTTTAACAACATCTAGTCCATTTTGCCAAAGTGATGATGTGATGGGAATGGGTATTCAAACTCGTGAAGATGTCTTTCGATTGCTTAATCTGGCTCGTCATGTTGAAAAATTTGATAGTGATCGGTAAGCTTAGTGATAGTTGTTATTTCATCAGTATTATTCAGTTGCTTATGATTTTTTTCACTCGTACCAGTTAATCTCTTATTTTATTTCGTTAAACTTTCAGCATTGTGGAATCTTTCTGCAACATTTTTCATCAGTTTCAACACATACGATTTCATCGAATCAATCTAATTCAATGCTTGTCCCCCTTAGTGTTATTCTGTTAAATTGACGTGATGACTTCATGATAGTGGTTTGTTTCAATGTACACAAAAATAAAGTACGTTGACGTCCTTATTTCATTGAACTTTGCGCTGTACTTCAGATACTCATTGAAGACGTTTGATGCAACTAGGTGGTCAGAAAATTTCGATGGTGCGAATAGTTCTCATTTATACAGTTCGGATGAAGAATTATTTCTTTTCAACTAGCTTCCCAATGACAGCTCTACACTATTAGGTTGGATTTTTAGATTCAGTCAGTTAGAATCAAAGTAAAACTAAGCATTACTGCGTAACAATACAAGTTAGCACACCTCATGTCGGAATATCAACCGAGAAAGCATCAAGATTGAAGATAGAGAACTCAAGAAGAAAAGTAATCAATTAGTAGAATTGTCGTAAACAGAACAAGTGGGAATGGGACAATAATGCCATTCGGCATGACGGTAAAGATGAAGATAACATGCGGATGCAATTGTGCCAGCGAGACCATTTTTGAACCATGTCACCCATAGTCTCCAACCAGCGATTTCGGTTATCAGTTGAACGCCAACTGGGAAGTCTACATTTTCTCACACGACTCAGACCAACAGTTGAATAATTCCTCTAATGATGCCTTGTCTTAGTCTAGGTACCTCTAACTTTTCTCGGGCCTAAACCTACTTTAGGCAACATTGTGCGACGAGGCAGACGGTGACTAAGCCTGCACAACACATGTCCCAGCCGTCTCAGTGACGAAGGTTCACAACCTCATCAGTTGGTTTTCCTCTCCTTTCTAGAACTTTAAGGATGACGTTTACTTTACTGAGGTGTGACACCATGACACATGACCAACACCTTCATTGATCATATTTCAAATCCACGTAGTAAAACAAAGCGAACTTCAGCACAGTACACTCGGGACTTGATAGGCAGCCGGATATCACCTCAGCACCATAGGTGGCGTAAGTTTACAAAAGCCAAGCGAGCCTTTCGTGTGCCTGCGAAGATTTAGTCGGTCACTAACCTATCACTGCTGATCTAACTTGCCAAATAAGTGAAGTGATCAACGCGCTCAACCACTTCATTCCCTATTCTTAGACAAGGCATCAAACGCACAATAGTCCTGGAGTAACAATTTGGATTTGAGTGATCAGAAACGCATCCTAAACATTCCCAAATTGCCACTCATTGTTTGCATAAGACGGTTATTGGATAGAAAGTATGTCAGCCTATATTTGAGTTGCTTTCGCTCCTCAGTACTCGGAGCTTGCAGTAATGCCTTCACATGCATCCACTAGTTCTGAAGTAGCCAGTGAGCACTCATTAACCCTTTCTGAAAGTCAGTCACAGTCTTAAATGCCATTTTTATGATGAACAATAGTGTTAAGCTTCTTCAAGATGAGTGACTTCCTATTGCGATAGCCATTTAGACAGCTTCTTATTGAAAGCGACCTTAGCATTCTTGTAATTGAGCTTAGACTGGAATTATCTTTTTGTATTTTTCATTTGAGCCAAGAGATACGGGTAGTCAGTGTTCAAACACGTGCCTCAAGCCCTCTCCGGCAGCAATTGATAACAATATGTTTTCTGTGACCATCGTTGAGTTGTTGTCGGTGGACGTCGTGTCAGACTATGTTTTGCTTCATTTCTGAAGCTCGTGCTGGTCACAGATAGGTGTTTCTCTAAACACAGTTGTAGCAGATCACTGCTATCTGTTTGTGCAGCTGGGATAAGGGAAGTGCTATCTAATTGCTTTTCTATTTGGCTTAGGCTACACACTTGTGTATTCAAATTACCTGCTACGACAACCACATTTGAGCGTTTGGCTTTTTGTAGGGGACAAAACTCCTCTTTCATTTCATTTAAACTGCATTAAATGGGTGCGTAAGAAGAGATTACAAGTAGACGGCGACGAGTTTCACTGCTCTTTTTAGTCCTCCCTGAATCATTCCGTTGAAAAACGCACATGCGACTGTCGACTGGGATGGCGTTGGGTAGTACACTTTTGTACTTCATACTCATACCTAAAAGACTGTGGTAACTATTCACCGAATTTCCAGAAACTCAAAGGGTGGACGTTGGATTAGGTTAAGGGAATAACCACACTTAGGTCTTTTATGTGTGTCTCACCAACGCCACACATCCATGACGTGAGATACCAGACTTGTGGCTAGCAAAGCTTAGCCGATCTGACGGAGAGTAGGCACATTGAAAGCATTGATATATGGTTTGAATCGCGGCTTCGGGAGATCAAGAATGCTGTTGCATGAACTCGTCATCAAAAGCTACAGACCTAGATCATATTAAACATGTTGGAATATTGACCAAAAGATATCATGAAAGATTAGAAGGCAGATGTGTGAAAGTTTGACAGTGATATGAGGGAATTAGAGTACTGAGAGAGTTTTGAAGGCGGTTGTCGCTTACCTGCTGCTGATAACGTATAAAATCGCTTCTTCTTGAGGTACCTGCAGAAAGGGATTGTATTCATAGTAATGGTGGCTGACTACAGAGCCCAAAGAACATCGACTTAGAGCCAGTCAGACAAAGCCTTTTTAGGAGTTTGAGATTCAGCTCTGCCTTAGATCCAGTTGAGCAACCATACCAGTGGCACCGGAAAACTATAGAGCAGGAAGGAGTGTGCCACAGTTCTGGACAATCTGTTATATTGTAAACCTATCTTCCCATAAGGAAGTCAACATCAGCATGGAGTGTTGGTCATTCTTGTGAAACATCTTACTGCTTTCAGAACCCATCCAACCAGCAGTTCAAAGTCACCCTCTAACCCTCACCATACTGTTAGCTATTTACATCATAACGCTAACTGCTTTTGTTTATACCAGGAGACCTTCCTAGCATAGTGGGACCATTAGGAGTTTTAATTTTAACCAATATGTAGGTCATTGTGATATGCAAGCCCAGCTACCATACGACAAGGTAGGAGCTGTCAGTTGTTTGAGCAGTGTTTAAATGGTTTATAGTAGAAGTACAGCCTCTAAAAAGTCATGGTTTCTAAAACTAGTTTCGGTGTGACATCAGCGAAATTGTGACACAGTGGCTAAGGAGCACTTCATAAGGATCGTTCAATGCAGTAAAGTTATGCTTCATATTGCACAATCGACAAATGCTGACTTCATAAATCATAGACCATATCATTTCGTTTCTTGTCCAACCAGTTACATGGACGAACGAGCGAAAGACCCTCAGCCACCTTGTGCACATCTGTGCAGTAAACAGACAGCCACATCCATTGTTAGGTAACTCAATGGTTGATAGTCATTTTCCTAAACCACTGAACCACAACTGCCCACTCATGTGGAGCACATAGTTAGACAAGTTTGTGGTAGAATCTCCAAAAATCGTGCATCTTAGTTGTGCAATATGTAGCTCTATACTCTCATATCTGGTTAGCACTCATCACCGAGTTAATATTAATAATGCATTTAATGTTATTTATTACGTCCCCCCCCCCAACTTTACTCATGATTCACGTGTTTGTCTTGTACATACAGCCATTGGAATTCACCTGGGCAAGCCGAGTTTATTTGTTCTTAAGAAATTCTTGCAACCTATTTCTTTACTTTGAACACCTGCATAACTTATCTATGCAAAGAAGGCTCGTTCTCTTAAACTATCACCATCATGAGTGATATTATTATCGTGGTTGTAGCTGTTTACTTCTATATGTCTCGGATTCTGCTTACATGATTATCGTCAACAATTGGCTACTTGACATAACCGTCCATTCTGTCTTCCTGTTAATCACTACCATTCAAACTACCAGTTACGAAACAATGTTCAACCTTTGACAAATTTACTGTGTAATTACTGTATTCATTAACTACTCTTGATTACTTACTACCTCTTAATACCTTAAGATTGATAGTAATGATGAATAGTGGCTAGCAGTCGAATCCAGAATGCGCATTTTGTCCTATTTGGGACTCGGACGTGGTGGATTTGGTGGATAGCGCATTGGGGCGTGAAGCGATCACTCCCGAGTCCAAATCCCGGTGGGAACAACATCACTCACTGATACATCCAACTAACGAGTCCCAAATAGGACAAAATACGCATCCTGGGTTCCACTGCTAGCCACTATCCATCATTACTATAATTAAAACACAGGTAATATCGAAGCATTCGCACAGGAGCCCCATATGCCAATGGAGACCGATCAATTCGGTCCTATCGACGACGGTATAATACAAGCAATAATACTTAAGATTGATAATTTGTTATCAACTTTGCTGACTGAGATTCACGTGACAACTGAAATTGGTGGTTGGTGATTATAGGTGACATGATTGGGAAACGGTCTCACTGGAGAAGATGCATTCACATGATTTCTTTATCTCAATCGTCATACCGAATTGCATTATTGTTTCATTCCTTCTTGTCTTCTGTTTTCGGCATTCCACCAGTTGACTATTTTTTTTTCTTTATTTCTCTATTTTCCATTTTGGTGTTATTTCGTTTGATATCCTTGATATCTTATTGTCTGGTGCATGAGCCTGCATATCGGTGCTATGTTATGTTCTGTGTTGCACTAGACAGAATATACACTAGTATTTGCGAGGCTAAAACTTTCTGTTGTTTCAACTCGACGCCCTAAAAATACATCTGTTATTAAACTAGGATTATTGTTTTATAGTACCGGTGAAGTAAACTAGTTGTGCACAATGCAATTTATACTGTGTTGGATTAGTGAACGCTGAGATATGAGTAGGGTACTTTAGACTAGAATAACTAATTTTTTCCATTGATCTGCAGAATTATGTATATATTGGGCATCTTTAAATTCAGTATCTTTATAGTCTCCACGACCTATGCGAAAAAAGGACTTTTGTTTATGTTTTGATCAAAATCACATGAAAAATACGAATTAAGGATTTACAATATGTGAAAATTATATATATATATATATATATATATATATATATATATATATATATATATATATATATATATATATTATATTCAGTGGTTTACTGTGTTAATTTACTCACTTATTTTCTATTGTTGTTCATATTTCTTTAAAATCTCATTCATTATTGTTTTCTTTGTTCAGATTTGTGTTTCTTTTCGATTTGCTCATAAATCCATTTGGAATTAATGGGAATAAACTGCTGACATTTCTGTCAAATGAAGAGCTATGTTGTCATAATAAACTTAAGACACCTTTTTTATACAAATGGTTTCGCTCTGTGGATAATGGTGCAGATACATTTAGGCATGTTAGTCGATCAGGGGATATACATATACATCTTACAGAATCATCAAAAACGGAGACATTAGAAAAGAATGTTGACAATTACTTAACTAACTGGAAGTTGGCTGAAGGGGATCACGTATGTGTCTTTATGTTTTATCTGTATTCATGGGACTTAGATTCCTATTCTTGTTTGCATCAATTTTATGTATTATGTCATTATGATTATTGATTTATACTGAATTCTGCTATTAGGATGGTTTTGTGTAATCTAGTTTTTGTTGTTATTTCAACAGAATTTGTTTTAAAATAATATTTATTTCTAAAATTATCCTTCATATATTCTCACCAGTCCATTTATCACTTACTACCTTCAAGTGATTATGCTAAGAACTGAAATAAAAGTCATGGATTTACCGAACTGTTTTGGCACTATTGCTGTAAAAGTATGTTTCTAATTACCAAGTGAATAATAATAAATACACGAAACGATGTTAACGCAGTGAGACGAACTGGATACAAATAGCGACTGTTCTCTCTCAGAACCTTATACTTCCCTGTGCTGCGAAAATCAGAAGATAAAGACCGGTTTGTGACTGTAAGGAAGACATTTTATTCGACAAAAACACACCATTTATATGTAATTTTCATGGATATATGAAATCACTAGGGTCAAAAGTTAGATAGCACATTTTGATTGGTCAGCTGTAGGATAAACTGTCCAATAAAGCTTTTCCTGACCACACAGTGACATGAAACAAAAATTGAAGTACAAAGACTTCTACTCTAGTGACTGGTGACCAAGTGTTGATTTCTATTTACTCTAGTTCTTACCGCTAATGTACCGAGATTAGGAAGCCTTGACATAAGGTTCAAATTGTCTACTTTTTAGGTAAAACTCGTTTGTATATGACCACTAATATATACCCAACTGGAACCAGTTGCATTTTACTGGACCTTTTTACTTGCGTTCTGTTCGTAAACGAGACAGATGGTCTCTATTCTATCAACCAGCTACTGGAGTATTGTTATTATTGGTGATTTAAACAATGTTGTGTAGGTTTTGGATAACATCACGCTCACAAGTGCCGTTGTTTCACTGTTCGGCCTTATTTTGTGTAACGTGTTTATCAGAAGTTGGATGATATCATCCACTTCGTAATTTGCCACAAGCTATTATGAAGATATGCTGAACTTCGAGTTACTTATTTTTACTATATATATATGGTGGGTGATGATTGAAGGTGGAATGAAAATTCGGACCGCAGCCGGACTCAAGCCAGCGACCACCAACCCGATGCCGATGCTCTACCAACTGAGCTACGAGATTCGACTACTGACCAGATTTTTATTTTACTTCGATCACCAAGGGTGTTGCCTGACTACCATTTGAATTTGTGATGCGTTACTACTACTTGGTCTTATTCACACTGACTACCTTGTCAGGACTTCTCATCCCAATCCAAATCAAACGGTAGTAACGTGTCACGAATTCATATGGCAGTCGGGCAAAACACTTGGTGATTGAAATGAAATAAAAAATCTGGTGAGCAGTCGGACTTTGTAGCTCAGTTGGTAGAGCGTTGGGCCAGAAACCCCGTAGTCACTGGTTGGAATCCGACCGGGGTTCAAAAATCTATTTCATCCAGTATAAATGCTAGTCTACCAAACTACAGCTGTCTCAGTCAAACGACTATATATATATATTATACGCGTTATATTAAGTTCATATCTCGTGTGCCTTCATGTTGGCCTGATTAACGTTGAGTCAGTCTTTGGCACGGTTATATAAACAACGCTCGTCGAAAACATTTTCGGTTATGTTACCTTGTCGTTATAATAATTTTTGTTCTTTTTGCTTTATTCTTCTGAATGTTATTTCAAACACCCAATAGTTTTCTGTACTTTTTTTATTTATTAGGTTCCAGATGACATTAAACTAACTTTATCAATGTACGAATATAAAATTCGTCTTCTACAAGTAAGTCAAATATCATTTTCACTGATTGTCGTTAATTGCGTCCGATAAAGAGTATGTCTTTAGCTGATCGTACTAGATACTTTTGTGGAGTTGTAGCTCATTCACCTTTGAACCCTACTTTCGACTGATGGGTCACGGGTTTGGACTTCGTTTTACCTACCGAAGTCTGTATAATCAGATGGCCTCACACAATTTATATGGTCCATTGCCTACCCCACAAACGTGCATGTGGTTGCAGAGTATATTCAAATCTATTAGATATTTTTACACGTGATAGAGTAAGGCACGTAATATTTTTTTTGAATCACTAAATGCTCAAACTTTATATTCAACAGACTCGCTTATAAAGAATATGCCAAACTGCTGCTGGTTTTTAATTAAACTGGTTATTAGACTAGACCGACTGAGATTTGGTTAGTGAATGTAAAGTTACATTGTAGTATCCATTGTTGGTGCTGATTATATATCTGGTTATAAACTTAATGCTGAATGGCAAGAGGAGTTAAAAACCACTCAGGCTGATCTGTTGATTGCATCAATGGTGCTGATAAGCTCCACTCAAAACAATCGATCGTTTGGTTGTATAGCTTCTAACTATTCAAATTGTTCAATGGCGTGTTTCGCTAGTTCATGAGACTTCTTTTGTCAGAGATCACATCTTGTGATCTTGCCTGGAATGACACTGCAGGTGGGCAGTTGAAAAAAATACTTATCAGTGGCAAATGTCAATATGAACCGTACAACTTGTAAATCATCTGTACTTTGCTATTACAGAGCACAAGCAATTGGTGGCCTACACAGTTATGCATCCTTACCTACATAATCAATCATCGACCGCAAACTATGAGGATGTGCCTCTTCAGACTAAGGATTGAGGTTTACAGTGATCTGTACTGGTTTCGAATGCCACTCTACCTATCTTGCACTGGCCTACCCAGTAGTAGTAGTAGTACTAGCATAAACGCTCATACAATGAGTGTACTTCGTAGCCTAGCAGATAAACACATGTACACGGTTGAGTTATTTATTTCATCACGAGCTGTTATATGATTGTTTCCATCATCATTTTGTTATATTCCCATTCATAGATAATTGTCTACATTACCCTTATTTATTTGACAGTTTTATCACAATGTAGGTTAAGCTTCTATTATTATCTGTCCCTTGGGTTCCTAGTGGAACATAGGGCTTCAGTAACACGTCACCATTTCACTCTCTTCTCTGCAGTCTTTACAATCTGGTCTAACAACTGCCCACAAGCTTTCATTTCTTCCTCACGCCATCTCCTCAATGTCACCCTCGCCTCGGACACCCAACTGTTCGTTTCCCGTTTGTGTTCGACTCGAGGGCCTGACCTGATGCGTGATGTCGCCAAATCGTCTTCTCAATATATGCCCAATCCAATCCAATCCATCTCGACTTTCTTCTTATGCATATTTGTTGGGTAATAGGTTCTTGGTTGGTTGGTTGGTTGGTTACCAGGTCAGAGTTCCTTGTTGCTTATTCTTATTATTCTGATCATCTGATCTTCAGTATTGAGCGAGCGTAGGCGGCAGCTGTTGATGATGTATGTCTGCGGTTTGTTGGAAATGCTTTTCATAACGTGCCAAGTCCTTCAACCATCATATAGAAGGACTGATTTGACTGGCATTAGTGTTTAAAATCCGGATGTTGTTCACACTTTATGCTGAGTAGAGTGGAGTGCAGTAGATCTCTACACTGATTTCAGAATATTCAAGCAAGACCTGTCTTGTTGTCTTTTCGATTCTGGCTATGACGTTCTCATCTGTCCTGCCGCCTGTATTTGAGAGGATCACAGTCAGGAACATCATCAGTGATAGTAGGCGGCAACATTGTCTTACTCCTGTCTTCATTTCAAAGGTGTTACTAAGCTTTCCACTGTGTAGTGAATCACTTGGCATTTGCCGCCTTCATATAGCTGTTGAATGAGGTTAATATAAGTTTGTGCCACCAAAAGCATGGTATGAAGGAGCTGCCAAATTACTTCTCGGTTGACATTATCGAAAAACTTTTCAAAATCGATGAAGTTGAGGTGAGGTGTAGAGTTGACTGCCATTCCATGCTCTGTTACACCCTTCTGTATCTTTACATAATTAGGTTTGTTTTGTCTGTATTTGGCCATCTTATGTGTGAACGCATACACTTATGCAAACAATTCATTACGAGATGAAAGGTGAATCAACCAAGGATCTTTAATTTTAAACAATGTTATTTACTGAAGCTATGCAGTCGCATTTATAAATACTGGAAACAAGTGAACGAGTAGTATGAATCACTAGGAACCTGTGGTTACTGTAATAATGATCAAAAGTAGAATGGTAGTGCATTATTAGTAAGACGATAACGAAAGAAGAGATCGAGCATACTTCTTGGGTACGCAATGATTCCGCATGAATTGGTCATTTACTAATACTTGAATTGAAATAAATTTTGAAGTATATGAAGAATAAGCATTATTCCACAATACTTGTTTAATGTCACCGTATAATTTTTGCCTTTATCATTCCATCTTTTCAAGTCTCGTGAGAAAATTTTAGAGAAAAATGCTACACTTAATGCTGAAGCCTCAGCTAGTGCACATAAACTATGCGATCATTATCGTGAACGTCTTGAATTGGCTGAATATGAAGCTAGTAAATTACGCAGGCTACAAATAGATTCGATCACTAATATACACAATCAGAAAAGACAACTTTCTTTTCAAAAAGAACAATTAGAGAAGTAGGTTACTCTTTTGAAAATAAAATTCAATAATTCTGAAATTGTAATATTTGTGAAATTTCAGTTGAATGAATTTCTTCAAAGAAGCAGTTCTCACAAGGTAGTTAAATGTCTGGAATAATTGTTTTTTACACTTGGTTCTATTGTTATTAGACTACATGGAATCCGGTATAGTGGGTGACCCGGTTGTAATCAGAAAAATAGCAGATGGAGAGCATAAAAATCAGAAGTGAAATAATAAAAAGCCTGGCAAAAGATATGAAAGGACAAGCCCACTAGGTTGTTCAGCTCACCTATGCTATCATAGTTAATCTTAAACTGTTTACTCTAAACCCTGATATTGATTCTTACTTTTTTATCAGCGTTATCTTGCAACATTGAACTCTCACCTAATGAAGATTCATCTTCATCTAGGATACTAAACACATCTATTGTTGGACATTCATAGTGATTATGAGTGTCCTCCTCTTCATATCTGATATCGTCCTCCTAACCTCATCTTTTGTCACATCGTAGTCCCACGGTACTTCAACAGTGTTGGTGATGTGCAGTTGACATCTGACGTGGTTTGTTGATACGTCTTTAGGTGCTGATTATTTGTGAACAAATTTGAAATGCTTTTGCTATTTATATGAAGTTCTATATGTAGTTCTAACAATAGTATCCAACAGCCAAGTTCCTGACAACACTATCGCTCACAGAACAACTCATGCTAAAAATAAATTACCATGCTACTTAACAATCAAATTCTTATATACATTAAACTATTCACACTGGTACATAAATGAGAGAGAGTTTGGAGGCGGGAATATCCAGATGACGAGTCCCAAATCGGACGAAACGCGCATCCTGGATTCCACTGCTAACCACTACCCATCATTACAGTAATCAGAACACAGGTAATATCGAGGCATTCGCACAGGAGCCTATATGCCAATAGAGACGGATCAATCCGGTTCAGACAACGACGGTGCAATACAAGCAATAATACCATGCTACTTAACAATCAAATTCTTATATACATTAAACTATTCACACTGGTACATAAATGAGAGTTAAACGTTATGGTGACTTCTGACATAAGACAGGTTTAGAGGCTCATTACTGAACTGAACTCCAGTTCAATCATTAGTTAGAAAAAAGAATGTAGGAAGGGATTGAATTGATTTATTATCTATGCGTTTTGATAATGTACAGACCGAAGACTTGTGACTTCCTGAAGTGATCTTTCAGGTCAGCTAATGTTAGAAGATGAAAGTGAAATTCGGTGGAGATTAGAACTTTTCAGAACGGTTTGATTAAAAATATTAAGTTTCTAACCCTTTGAAAGTGGTATCGCAATCGCCTTCATAAGCCTGTTTTGATTATGTGATCAACCCAGTGACAATTATCCAAGATAAAGGGTGATACTTTTAATTTTATGTACACCAATCTTAAAGTGAGCAGATATTTTTAACTCTATTTACTTGTTGTTATTCTTGTGCCATAATCACTCCTATATTTTGTCCATGGATTCCAATTCATTTTAGATGCTTTTTGCTTGTCAAACTGCATTTTATTTTTGACATTTCGTTACCATTTTGTGCTCAACTTTACTTCACTTATTTATCAAGTTTGCACAGTAAAGAAAGAATAATTTTATCTAAATTCTTTGGTGTCAATAGAGTCCAGGATGCGTATTTTTTTCTAGTTGGGACTCGCCAACCATCAACACGCAGTTAATATCAGAATGAATGTTGAGATTTTACTGGAACATTCATTCGCTGGTTTCATATACCAACAGAGACGAAACATCTCAGCTGAGAAAAATAAACAACAAGAAATCCTAAGCCTGTGTTTAAAAAAATAATAATAAAGACGTATCTATTTTTTATGTTGATATACTCAAATTACTACCCTTCTATATCTTCCAGGTTTGGTAACGATATCACTCAACTAACTGAACAGTTGGAAGCGAAACGTAAATGTTACGAAGGTAAATTTGGTGCAGTTTTTCCCCCTTTTCTGTATTACACATATCTAAGGTTCATTTTTCTCGAAGTGTACTCAAGCTTTTCATTTCTATAAGACCTTCAGAAAGTAGTGTATGGAAAAACATAGACCTAAAGTATTCTGGACAATTGAATTTTCTTTTAATGTTAAACTGTTTCTATAACAGTAATATTCAGTTTTCACTGAATAAATAATCTTGTATGTAGTCGCGATATATGATTTTACAGCTAACTAGTCGCTCATATTCGCTTCATAATTTTTGTGATACAAATATGTTCATTGACATGGGTGTGAAACTTGGGCACTGTCGTTGAATTTAATTCCATATTAGATTTGTTCATTTAATTTATAACACACAGTGATATAGTATCGTTTGCTTGATGACCATGTTTCCAGCATAAATTATCATTGCTCATAACCAGATCAATGTAATCAAACTACTTTCAACATCTGACTTTTATAGTTCGGTCACTTCTTACTCTTTGTTTCTATTAGTAGTAAGTTTCCCATATCTCTGGTACACGTGTTACGTCATTTCTACTACGTGTTGGGTGGGGGTTAATTCGATGAACAAAGATTCAGTAATCAATCTCTCTCAATCTCCACCTAATTATATAGGACTTGAGTACAATGGTTTTATCCCACCCATCCTATTGTGTGGTTGTGTTAATGCATGCATTGCAATAGGCGAGTTTCCTTCAAGAATAATCATCTCATTCAGGTCTGTCTAGTGAACCAGGAGATAAACTAGTGCAAGAATGCACAGTGAATAGAAGAACTGAATACAACGTATAAAACACTACACTGGATAAAGAAGTGAAGGCGAGTGCACGGAAAGACGAAAGACACTTCTACGACACACTGGCAAGTGAAGCAGAACAGTCTGAGCGCTGGTAAGAGAGGCCTGATAACACTATATCCAATAACCAGGTTACTATCTGGGAAGAGATCAACGCAGATGAAGCCAATGAAAGATAGTGAAGTAAAGCTAGTTACCAAGATAGAGAAACAAAGGAAACAATGGGTTGACCACTTCTGAAAACTCTGGAGTCGACCACCACCTGCGACTTGTCCAGAAATACCACCAGCAGCCACAAAATTACCAGTGAACACAAGCCCTCTGACAAAAGCAGAAGTGAAGTCCTGAAATCATTAAAGTTGCCGAAATCCAGGGAAGCAGCAGGACCAGATGGAATTCCTCCAGAAGCACTGAAAACAGACACAGAGACATCAGCAGTGGACATGTTCACACCACTACTGCAGAAGGTTTGGAAGGAAGGGAAGGTACCTGCCGATTGAAGGAAGAAGGGCTACCTTGTCAAACTCAGAAAGAAGGACGATCTAAGTCTTTGCAACAACTGGCGCGGATTCAAGCTCCTGTTCCTCTCCGCCCCAAGCAAAATATAAAGCCTCATCATCCTGGAGAGACTAAATTTCAATGCGCTGAATTCAAAATTACGTCCGGGACAGGCTGGCTGGTTGGCTGGCTTCAGGAAGAACAAATCATGTGGGGATCAAATTGCAGAGCTACGCATCATCATAGAACAGAGTATAGAATGGCAGTCAACTCTACACCTCACCTCAACTTCATCGACTTCGAAAAGGCCTTCGAAAGCGTCCACCGAAAAGTAGTTTGGCAGCTTCTTCAATACCATGCTTTTAGTGGCACAAACCTTTATCAACCTCATTCAACAGCTATATGAAGGCGGCAAATGCCAAGTGATTCACTACACAATGGAAAGCTTAGTAACACCTTTGAAGTGAAGACAGGAGTAAGACAATGTTGCCGCCTACTATCACTGATGATCTTCCTGATTGTGGTCGACTGGACTGGGTAGGACTGGATCATGTGAGGAACTGTGAGAAGCGAGAAGATGGGCATATGGTGTTTGACAGATGGAAAGACCCTAGAATATTTGGATTTCACCGATGATGATTTATATCTTATGTCACGCAAACTCGAAGATCTGCAGGCGAAAACTTACAAATTGACAGAAGAGGCAGGGCAGCGAAGACGGGACTTCAAGTGAATGTAGAGAAGATGGGGTTGATGAAGATATTTAGCTAACAACAGTATCAACAACAAAAGGCACCGATCCCCATCAACGGGAGAAACCGAGAGGAAGCAGAATCTTTCACCTACCTAGGGAGCATCGTCTCAAATACAGGCGGCAGGACAGATGAGAACGTCATAGCCAGAATCGAAAAGACAAGAAGACAGGTCTTGCTTGAATATTCTGAAATCAGTGTAGAGATCTACTGCACTCCACTCTACTCAGCATAAAGTGTGAACAACATCCGGATTTTAAACACTAATGCCAGTCAAATCAGTCCTTCTATATGATGGTTGAAGGACTTGGCACGTTATGAAAAGCATTTCCAACAAACCGCAGACATACATCATCAACAGCTGCCGCCTACGCTCGCTCAATACTGAAGATCAGATGATCAGAATAATAAGAATAAGCAACAAGGAACTCTGACCTGGTAACCAACCAACCAACCAACCAAGAACCTATTACCCAACAAATATGCATAAGAAGAAAGTCGAGATGGATTGGATTGGATTGGGCATATATTGAGAAGACGATTTGGCGACATCACGCATCAGGTCAGGCCCTCGAGTCGAACACAAACGGGAAACGAACAGTTGGGTGTCCGAGGCGAGGGTGACATTGAGGAGATGGCGTGAGGAAGAAATGAAAGCTTGTGGGCAGTTGTTAGACCAGATTGTAAAGACTGCAGAGAAGAGAGTGAAATGGTGACGTGTTACTGAAGCCCTATATTCCACTAGGAACCCAAGGGAGAAATAGTAATAATAATTCTATGTTTAACTGAATTTCTATGTTCGACTACTCTAAGTGACCCCGACCGTCTAGTTTCATCTATACGTTTGGCCTGATAGTCATTTCATGGAATTATTTTGTTTAATTGGTTCTTTCTCAACCTCTAGCCAGCCAACAAAGATTATCTCTGAGTTAGATTTTAGGTTTAAATCCCACCGAGATTCCAGCTTTGTTGAGGGTCCTACGTAAAGTTTCTGATGTACCTTCCTTATTTGGTAACTCAACGGAGGCTTTCAACTGCCTTCTACTCGTATTATCGCTGTTAGAAATCTGATTAGTCAGTGGAAGGACCTAAACATGAGACTGAAGCACATGAAAGGAGCCGTAATAGTTAATAATTATCCTTTACAGTTTATTAGTTCGTACGAACACATATAACAGACGAGATAATAACATTAACACGAGTACAAATAATAATGACAACACGAGTAGAAGGCAGTTGAAAGCCTCCGTTGAGTTACCAAATAAGGAAGGTACATCAGAAACTTTACGTAGGATCCTCAACAAAGCTGGAATCTCGGTGGGATTTAAACCTAAAATCTAACTCAGAGATAATCTTTGTTGGCTGGCTAGAGGGTGAGAAAGAACCAATTAAACAAAATAATTCCATGTATTGACTATGTGGTCAAATGTGTTGGTGAAACTAGTCGGTCGGGGTCAGTTAGAATAGTCGATCATAGGAATTTAGTTAAATATAGAATGACAGACCTGAATGAGATGATTATTCTTGAAGGAAACTCGCCTATTGCAATGCATGCATTAACACAACCACACAATAGGATGGGTGGGATAAAACCATTGTACTCAAGTCCTATATAATTAGGTGGAGATTGAGAGAGATTGATTACTGAATCTTTGTTCATCGAATTAACCCCCACCCAACACGTAGTAGAAATGACGTAACACGTGTACCAGAGATATGGGAAACTTACTACTAATAGAAACAAAGAGTAAGAGGTGACCGAACTATAAAAGTCAGATGTTGAAAGTAGTTTGATTACATTGATCTGGTTATGAGCAATGATAATTTATGCTGGAAACATGGTCATCAAGCAAACGATACTATATCACTGTGTGTTATAAAGTAAATAAACAAATAGTATGTTGAACAAATGTATTTACCACATAACGCGCACTCTGAAATCTCGGGCATCGCATTGTGTGTGTTTGTCTGGTATTTTGAGAAACGTCTGCATTTTGAAACATGCAGTAGTAGTTTGACGTTATAGCTTATTCATTTCCGTCGTTGACTGGTCACTATTTGCACGTTGGCCATATTGATATCACCCACTGGGGAGCGAATGCATCCAGCTTATGAGTCCCAAATACGACGAAATGCGCGTCTTGGATTCCACTGTTGGTTTTTATCTATGTCTTTTATCAAGTGTGAAAAGTATCTGCAATATTGAGGCATGCGCTCTGAATCCAGTATGTCGGTAGTGGTTGATCATTTGGTCCAATCAGCTACGGAGATACACAAGCCATAACGTCAGATACTATATTATACCCATCGTGTAAACGGTGGCTATCATCCTTCAATGGCCTAGTGGATAATACTGGCATCTGGAGCGACTGGTCCTGGGTTTAAGTCTTACTGGGAACAACGTCACCCACTGGGAGGTAGGTACACCCATCTGAGGAGTCCCAAACAGAGCGAGACGCACGCCTTGGATTCCACTGCTAGCCACTATCCATCATTAATATTCAATCATAATGTTTATAATTTTTTTTAGCATGCTGCATTCTTTGGATGGATTATTTCAAGCTTCCTACTTGTATTCAAACTGTGGTTAAAACATGAAGAATGCTGTTTTGTGATGATATAACTCGTCTGATCTCGACGGTTTTTTTTATACTGTTATTTAGCTTGAACTGGCAGCGGAAGGTAAAGTTTTGTGTAGTTTATCGAATATTAGCAATAATTCCTTCAGTTCTCTTGTTTATCTACTTGTTCCTACAGAATCTGAATTAAAAGCTGAAACTCTTCAGAATAAGCTAAAAGCTGCGCGTGAACAAATCAGGTCTATGGATCTGACCATAGACGATTACAGAAACCAACTGAATCAAGCACAGAATCAAATCCAAGCTCAAACTGCACAAGTAAGCATTTCGATGGATATAAGTTTATTGATGTGCATTTAGATTTGTAAATGGTGTGAATCATCCTATACACTCTGGTTGACTATCAGATTGTCATTTTCTCCTTGTCCCTGTATCTATTTATGCATATTTGAAAGTTATGAGTTGATTTTCCACTAGATGTTTATTCATTTGTCTTTTTTGTAATGCCAGAGCTTTGGGTCGGAATGTTATGTCTAAATATTACACTGGATTTATGATTTCAGAATCTAAGTAGAAACTGTCTATTGGATTGACTGATACATATAATACCTTCAGCTGTATCTCAAAGCTATGTGAATTCAAATCTCTAAATACAGTCTCTGCACATGGTATTAGCATTGATTAAGTTACCAGCTCAAATGAGCTGTATATTTCTTCGTGACAGTTATTTTGCGTGCTTTGGTTACTCATCAGTTCAAGTTGCTACATTCCTTCCCAGTGAAAAAGGCAAACACCAACGAAGTAAGCATGTATCGAAACAAACAAGAAGCGAAAAAATGAATCGAAAATCTCAAAATAGACCAGAAAGATGAATCTGATTTTGAGTTATATGTATTAAGTGACAACTGAAGATATTTAAGTGTGATGTGTACAAAATAAGTAGTATTGTAGTGGGTGCTACTGACAACAATGGATACAAGTAGTATATGTTAAGAGGTCGGCAGAAATCATGGGCAATTACCAGAAATGGGTAAATATTCTGCCCAAAGAAACGCAAGAGACAATGTGGCCATATAAAGAGCAAGTCGAGATAGAATCAGAAGGGGAAATGAAGCCCATTGTACAAATGACTATTTTAGTGGAAAGTGTACAGTATTTCTTCAGGACTGTACAAGATGTAATAATAAACAGTCTGTCCTGCTTCTCAGTCGTTGTCATTTCTTACAGTATTAGTGTTTTTTTTAAAGTTGTTGTGTGACCAGAGGAAATCATGTATTACCGTTGGTAATCATCAGTTTACAACTGGTCAGCAACTTATACAACAATATCTTCACCTGTATGATAATATCAGTTAAGGTTGATAGTGCCACTAGATGGTGGTTTCAAAGCATGTTCCTGTGATTAGCTATTTCAACTAATTCGTATATATACTGATAATACGGTTAAGCCATAGTAAGGAGCCATGAATTCACATGACAGTCAGGTGAAACCCCTGGTGATTGAAGTGAAATAAAAATCTGGTCAGAAGTCGGTTCTCGTAGCTCAGTTGGTAGAGTACCGGGCTGGAAACCCGATGATCGCTGGATTGAACCCGGCCGCGGTCCAAACTTTCATTTCACCTTCAATCATCACTCAGTATTAGTTATAGTCAGTAATATATGTGACTTATATGAATTATGATCAAGATTTGATCAAATGGTATTCCAAATATTAGGCGCTGAAATATTTGTAGCTCAGGAGGATAATTTTGATCGGGTTGAGTTCTCCTAGCTGGATTGTTCAATCGTGGAGCTTTCGTTGTCATTCTAGATACAACACCATCAGCACAAACTTCAGACGGAAGTGAGCAGTATAGTTTTCTCCACAATTTATCTAGTAGTTTGTCCTGATGGTTTTGTGCGTTATCGGTTGTTTCTACCAACTTTGACCCAATCTATCAACCAATATGAAACAACTAGAAGGTCAACTTTCATGGTTATCGAGACAACTATTAAAAATAAATATGGAGACAATGATAAGACCTTGGAAGAAAAAACCAATCACACACAAGACCATCAGAACAAGCTACTAAATAAATTGTTGAGAAAACCTTACTACTCACTTCGTTCTGAAGTTTGGGCTGATGATGTTGTCTAGGATGACAATGAAAGACCTACGATCTTTTACTATCAAATACTCTATTCTATTTACCATGGTTCATGCTAATATCATTGAGTTGTATTTTCGATCCCTGTTGTTTTTAAAAAATAATGTTTAGATTAACAAGTTCACTCAAATCACTAGACTTATCAACGATCTTACTGGTAATCCAGCAGCGGAGTTGGGAACCTCTCTACTAACTACCAGTGCTTCTGACCGGCCAATAACAAGTGATCCTATTACTTCTCAATCTGTTTGTGACAGTGGTCGAGTCAATTCAGTGTCAACACGAAAAGGTGCTAGCCGGAATGCCCGACATTAAGCCAAGAAATATATATATGCATGTTGTTTTTCGTCTCTTTGTACATAAACACTAATTCTTTTTTGTGTAATGAAGTATTCTGTATTCCTTTATGATGAATGAAATAAATCAATCATCAAGAAGACGAAAAACATTTCAGCGAAGAAAATTTTCTTCCTGATAATCTTATTTACTTAAGCTGTACACTTGGGTTTATATATGAGTATTGGAAGCAAATAACTGTCTATTAGTAATCAATAGAGCTACATGATTGGTATTAATATGTAGGAGTGGGATATAAATTATTTTTAAAGAGAGAAGGAAATTACTTAGTAATATATTATTTTTCTTTTGACTATTATCCGAAAAGGTCGTTGTTTCGCAGACTAGTGTTTATACTGGGCGGTGATTGAACGTGAAATAAAAATTTGGACCGTGGCCGGATTCGAATCAGCGACTACCGGGTTCCCGACCCGATGCTCTACCAACTGAGCTACGAGGTCCGACTGATGACCAGATTTCTTTTAATTTCATATTGGAATGGGTAGCAATGGAAGTATTAGATTTCAGGTCGATATCCATCATGAACTGACATCAATGGGGAACCTAAGAGCACTGGACAGCTGTTTTGTCTAAGTAGGAGACTCCTCAGTAATGGGTACCCATGGCCCCGTCAGGGTTCGAACCCGGGACCCTCGGGTTCTGTGACCAGCGTGCTACCATTGAGCCATTGGGTTGGCAGTAACGTCAAACTAGAAAAGCTTCTCCTTTTTCGGCATCACAGTGTATCATGTTACTAATTTCTTTATTTTAACTCGGTACTATCTTTTTCCATTTCGAATCTTTACCAGTCGATCGTTATTCCTTCTTGTGTTTTTCAATGTTGCGCCATATCATATCATATATATATGTATATATATATATATATAAGTAACGTTCACCTTACTGCTAACTCGTCTGCTCTTGCTGACTTTAATGTAGGTGAACTCCCAGGAAAACTTCATGCCTATATCAGTGAAGTCCACGTTGAGTGGAGCGCTGGCTCAATGAAGGAGTTGGTTTTCAAACAGTGGGTCGTAGGTTCGAACCCTGCTATCCCTGCTGTTGTTTGAGTAGTCAGGGAGTATCATTGACCCTTTCACAATAGGTATGGTTCATTGCCTACTACACGACTGTGCACAAAGTTACTGAGTACAATACGATTTTCCTGGGTCTTCCTAAGGAAAACCTTGATAGAGTCAATGATAGCGAATTATAGTCTTCAGAAGTTACCCACATTTCTGTTAGGTTTCTATTTCAAATCAGATTGTATGAAAGAACTGTTTGAAACGTGTATCAGTACTGCTGTTCGATGAATGGATGTAATGATCTTTTTCACTTCACAGTTTAATCATTTTGCATAATATGAATTTCATTATTACCATTTAACTTGAATGGCTTCTGTTGCACTTCAGATCACCAGATGAGATCCATGTGTTCTTGTGTTAGGTAGGCGATAGTGTCAAGTTATACATTGGCTGAATTTTTTCATAGAAAAGTAAATATGTTCCAACTTGTCAGTCTAGTTGGTTGTTGCATCAGGTGCCATAATTATAAAGAAATTAGAATCTTTTCATTGAGTTTCATTGATGAAAATTTCCAACAGCTTCTTTTTAATCTATTATGCGATTATTGGTCCATTTTAATAAGTATTATTAACTTTTAGTTACCGCAGTCCTGAGGTCTTTTTTCCTGTGAGAAACATTTATAGAGGATACGAACTACCAGGTTATTTAGCAACTTTTGAAGTATGCACTAGTACAGTACATGTTATATTATATACTGTTTTAAGTCATGGTTAATGTATGCGTCTAAGATGCTAAGTTTATCTAAATTGGTAAATTGTAAAGCAACTATGGTAAGGTGTCAATTAGGTTTCGTTATGCATAAGTTGGCTGTTTAGTGATGAAGTCTCGGCTTGGATCCAGAAGGCATTTGGCGACTTGCGTCATATATGGCGCCAGCAAGATATATGACTACCTTTTGAGGGACAGGTGTGGCGCACTCCAGTCTGTCATCCTCTGTTATACGGCCGCTAAGAGTAGATGTGAAGCGGTCGCAAGTTTTTGATCTTAGCATTGATTACTCTTGGTGGGATCACTGTGTGAGCAATGTTGAGGTCAAGGAGGTCGACTGATGAAGTTGTGAACCTTAGTCGACCGTGACATGGAGATACACTGTAGACACCTAGCCGGACCACTGCTTACCTCGGAGGAAGCTGGATCAGGTTGCAGGAGGGTTCAGGGTGACCAGACCAAGATGTGGCATCAGTTGGTAAAGTCTCTGACTGTCGGTCTGAGCTATATGGGAAGATATAAGGGTTCCCGAGGCGGTAGGAATCAGCAGTTAAAGATTGTGGATGACATGATTGGAAATCAGTCGCAGTCGCACAGATGTACTCGCTCTTCGACATCTAAATCTTGAATATATCCGTTAACCTTTATCTTCAGATCGTTTATTCTCTCACACAACTTTGTATACTTTGGTATCACTCTTTTTCTATCCACTTGTTCTTTGAATGCTGCTGTGAAGTGTGGCAACTCTAACTGATGCACTTGTGTGTGAGGTTCTACGTTGGTTCTGTTTGTTTGTCTGCTTAAGAAGCTCACTGATTACTGAGACGAAAGTGGTGAGTGAGTTCATATTGCGCATATCCTTCGAAAGAACCTCGCGTGGATAACTACTTCACTAGTTACTAGCCGGTCCTAAGCCCCCATAAAGAGGGAAGGTTGGGCATAGGGCTAGCAACCCTACCCCGTAAAACAAATCTAACCACTAAAGAAACTTAAAAGCACAAACGATATATACAAAATAATAACAAAATTATTCCTCCCTGGAATCGGAGAGAAGAAATGACGCCAGCTGGTGAAAGCCTTCGGGAAGCCAATTGGCCTGGCCGATGTGTCTTCTTTCCCTCGATGAAAGTGAAAGTAAACGTGGGGACATGGAATGTCCGCACCATATTTGAACCCAGTAAGGCAGCCCAAATTGCAAACGAGATGAAGAGGTATCATATCGAAGTGCTTGAAATTTGCGAAAGCAGATGGAATGGGAGTGGACTCTCCAAACTGTCAACTGGAGAGGAGTCAATAATCTACTCCGATATCGTCATCCAGACGACAACCACGAGCACACTGAGTTATGGAGTGGCTATCATGATGTCCCCAACAGCATCGAAGGCTCTCATGCAGTGGGAACCGATCTCCTAATGCAGGATCATGACACCAACACTCAACTCAAAAGGAAACAAAGTCACAATCATACAATGCTACGCACCAACAAATAATGCAGATCAAGAGAAGGAGGAATTCCACAAACAACTGCAATCAGTACAAAACAAGACCCCATCCCAGGTGGCGACATCGAAATTCTAATGGGTGGGTGACATGAATGCCAAACTCGAGGCGGACAACACAGGAAGAGAACCAATCATAGGTCGAGAAGCGCTCGGCGAAATGAACGAGAATGGAAAATTGTTCACAGATTTCTGTGCATTCAACGATTTGGTGACTGCAGTGAGGTAGTGTGTTCAAGCACAAGGATATCCACAAAGTGACATGGATTTGATTTCATCAGATGCACACACTACACTACAAATCAGATCGACTTCATCTCAATCTCAAGAAAATGGAGAGGCAGTCTACTTAACACAAGGTCAAGAAGAGGAGCAGATGTAGGCGGTTCACATCACTCACTATCTAGTGCAAGGAACCTACCCTCAAAATCGAGTTGAAAGCCTTCAAGGAAGCTGGTGATAGACCGCAGTTCAAGTACAACACCCAGGACGGAAACTGAAGGATGAAACTACAAAGGAGATCTTCACGGCAGCCAGCCATCAAGACAAAATGGGAGATATCGAGGAACATCCCTGAAGAAACCTGTGTGGAAGAACACTGGAAGTCTTTGAAAGCTATGTGGAAAGAAACCTGCACAGCCGTATTAGGAAGGAAGAAGGTGGAAGACAAGGAATGGATCTCGACGGATACATGGAAGATGATAGAGGAGATGAGGATGGTGAAGCAGAAGATAAACCAGTGCAACGATGCATAACGAAAAGAAGAACTGAATACAACTTACAAAACACTGGACAAAGAAGTAAAGAAGAGTGCGCTCAAAGACAAAAGACACTTCCACGAAACACTGGCAAGTGAAGCAGAATAGGCTGTAGGTAGGAGAGACCTAACAACACTGCATCAAATAACCAGGTTGCTATCAGGGAAGAGATCAACACAGATGAAACCGATGAAAGATAGTGAAGGAAATCTAATCACCAAAGAAGAGAAACAAAGGAAACAATGAGCCGACCACTTCAAAAAGCTCTTGAATAGACCACCACCACCTGCACTTCGTCCAGAAATACCACCTACAGCCGCTGAACTACAAGTGAACATAAATTCCCCAACAAAAATGGAAGGCCTGAACGCCATAAAGCTACTGAAGTGTGGAAAAGCAGTAGGACCAGATGGAATCCCACCAGAAGCACTGAGAACAGATACAGAGACAACAGCAGACATGCTCACACCACACCACTATTGCAGAAGGTCTGGAAGGAAGAGAAGGTACCTGCCTATTGATTGGAAGAAGGGTTACCTTGTCAAACTCCCGAAGAAGGGAGACCTAAGTCTTTGCAAGAACTAGCGCAGAATCATGCTCCACACTTGTCCACCCAAAGCAAACAAAATATTAAGCCGCATCATCTTGGAGAGACTAAAGGATAAGCTGGATTTAAAATTACCACAGGAACAGGCAGGCTGGATTCAGGAAGTACAAATCATGTGCCGACCAAATTACAACGCGTCGCATCATCATACAACAGAGCATAGAGTGGCAGTCAACTGGATCTCTAGCTCAACTTCATCGACTTTGAGAAGGCCTTTGACAGCGTCCACCGAGAAGTAATTTGGAAACTGCTTCAACACTACGGAATACCGCAAACCTTTAGCAGCCTCATTCAACAACTATATGAAGACGCCACATGCCAAGTTATTCACAAAGGGAAGCTCAGTGATGCTTTTGAAGTAAAGACAGGAGTAAAACAAGGTTGCCTACTATCACCCATGATATTCCTGATTGTAGTCGACTGGATCACGCAACAAACAGTGGAGAG